AAGATGCTGCCTTCAAGGATCCTTGGGTTATCTGGAAGGCCCCTGAGAGCATCCTAAGAATTCAGGAATAAGGAAAGGCCAATGATACCTTAATACCCAAGGCTGCTAAATGTGCCTGGAGTTGATAGAGGCTGCTAAAAAATCTATTTACTACCAAGGTCATAGAAAGAATATACTCTTTGCACTGAATCCTCACATTTCCTTTATTCTTTAATATGCAAAATTATGGAGACTAATAAGCAAAGGGTTAGCTTTTTGCCACTGTGACAATTACCTGAGAGAAACAATATAAAGAAAGGAGAATTTACTTTGGCTCACAGTTTCAGAGGTTTCAGTCCACGGTCGGTTGGCTCCATTGTTTCTGACTATGGTAAGGCAGAATATCATGGTGGAAGGAAACGGCAGAGTGAAGTTGCTCACCTCATGGCAGCCAGAAAGCAGAAAGAGAGGAAGGAGTAGGGAACAAGGTATATCTTTCCGGGGCACATCCAAAGTGACCCGCTTTCCTCAACTGAATCCCACTTCCATGGTTTCACCACTACCACCTCTCAAAAATCTATTCAAATTTTGAATGCATGAATGGATTAATCTGTTGACAAAGGGATAGTCCACATGATCCAAGCACTTACCAAAAGTTCAACATCTAAGTACTACTTGTACTCAGGACAACCCTTCAAAACACTAGCTTTTTGGAGGGACATTTCATATATAAACCAGGTATTTTCATATGTTAAAAACTATTCAAGGGGACGGGGGGGGGGAGGGGGCACGGGAAGGGGTGGGGGAAGAGGGGAGAAATGAGCCAAACATTGTATGCACATATGAATTAAAAAAAAAAGTATTCAAAATTTTAAATTCTAGAATTATGGCTTTTAAAGTAATCCCAAAGCTGGGGCACTAGTGGCTCACTCTTGGAATCCTAGATACTTGAGAAGCTGAGACTGGGAGGATCTAAGTTTAAAGCTAGCTCAGGCAAAAAGTTCATAAGACCCCATCTCTAAAAATAACCAGAGCTAAATGTACTTAGAGGCATGGCTCAAATAGCAGAGCACCTGCTTTGCAAATGTGAAGCCCTAAATTCAAACCCCAGTCCCACCAAGAAAAAAAAAAAAAATTTTAATATGTAAGAATAACTGAGTAACTGAGTTCAGTACTCCAAAGGTGTTAAACTTTCTTTATACTAAACACTAAGCACCTTTTTGCCTTTCCCCAACAGGGTTAGTGAAAAGTTAGGATTTCTTCTTGAAGGCTTGAGTTTCAAAATCATGAAGTCCTATAAGTTCATGTTACATATGGAAGACATGGTCAAGAAAAAAATAATCAAAGGTAAATTCCTGTTCGATGTCCTAAATTCAATTCCCAGTATGAAAAAAAACAACAATAATAAAAAAAAGTAAAATCCTCACCACGAAATCATGTGATTTAACAGTATACACTCATACATACCAACTAGAACAATAAGACACAGTAAAAGGGAAGCCATCAGATTTTTGGAATTTTGTGAAAAATGTTTGTTCAAACTTTTTCTTCACATTCTTACTTGGACTCATGCCTGAGAGAAATTATAAATTATATAGAAAAAAATACTTTCAAACATAATATCAAACATATCGGAAACTTAACCTAGTGATGGAAATTTAGCTGCTTTTAGCTTCAGAAAGCTGGCCTGTGAACAGAACAGACATTTCATTAAGTGGTGTTTAAGATCTTGTCATACTCAAGTTAAATGTCCCACCACAGTAAGATTTGTTAAGGTTTTATGATGATCTAAACTCAATAAAAAAAGAACCCCTCCACACATATTTATTCATTGTCGCTTTCCTTATGTATTCACACAAGCACATATACCCCTTTTTAAAGATAAAATTTTAGCTTTCATTGCCAGAAGATTCTCACCGTTATTCAAAACTGTAACCCAAACTGTGAAGAACTAGTGCCTTGAGACTTAGGTCTACTGACTGATCACTCTGTTGACCAGGCCAGTTTCAAACTCCTAGACTCAAGCAATACTTTGTCATCTGCCTCTCAAAAAGGTGGAGTAGAGGTATGCACTGCCTATGTGGAGGAGTATTTTCATGGACAGCACTGAGCAAGCCATTCATAAGTCTTGTCTGCTCTAAGAACTTAGAATGATCTACAAAACAGCACATAGGCGTATTTTACTAAATAAAGGATAGTTATTTACCCTAGACTTCATTTCTACTACCATTCATCCTCCAGCTGTCATTTTACACAAGTATTAATAAGCAAATCTGTCACTGAAGGACTGTGCTGATGACTGCTAACGCACAGCAAGGTCACAGCTGAATCACAACTTGGGAGCTTTGCTTTCTAGTCACAATTTTTATGATGCTGATGTGTTATTTAGAAGTAGACCCCTAGTTTTGTGCAGTGGCAGTACCATAGCCAGTGAGGCTTATCCAAGGTGTGATTACTACTAATAAGAGCAGACCCCACAGCAAGCTTAATGAGATTTATAAATTCCATGATTCGAGAGCTGGTTCTCCTTTAAAACAGACAAAACAAGTTCTTTTGGGGTTTTTTTGGTGGTACTGTGGTTTGAACTCAGGGCCTCACACTTACTAAGCAGCACTTCACCACTCCAGCCACTCCACCAACCCTTTCTTGTGTTGTGTGTTAGAGTCTAGTGAACTATTTGCCCCAGCAGGCTTCAAACTGTGATCTTCCTTATCTCTACCTCCCAAGTACTTAGGATTACAGGCATGAACCACTCAAAACCAACTCTTAATATGTAAGCATTCCTTCCCCCAAAAGAATTAGAAATAACAGATGCATTGTGAATATCAATTGAACATCATGTGTACACCTACAAAGTCAGTAAGGTATGAAATATATCAAGTAATAAAGTATGCAAAAGCAGCTGGGGAGAACTTAGTCACACCTTCAAGCTTTACTTTCATTTTGTTGTTTTTCTGTGGTGTAGGGGAATCAAACCCAGGCCCTCATGCACAGTAAGCAAGCACTCTACCACTGAGCTTCACCCTCAGCACTGTACTTCAATTTTTTTGTCTCAATTTCTTGTTAGCATACATTAACAGTAGATTGTGATAATTCCACAGATGTCAATGTGACTAAATTCTGGCAGAAAATGAACCTATTTACTCTTCTGTATTGGCCTTATATAAAATATAAATATATCAAAGATCAGAGGCTTCTTCAAGAAGAAATTTTTAGAAGAGAAATGTAAATATTTCAAGTAGCTAATTTTTTTTTAAAGATACAGAGTACAATACTTCTCTCAAAAGTCTACGACTATACACAAGATTAGAGAAACAGTAGGAAAAAGCATTGGAGGAATGATAGAGAAAACCCATACTGAATTAACTTTATTTTATAAGGAATTTAGAAAACATGAGCAAATATTGATGTTGCAGTAAAGAGCAAATTAAAAGTCTATACATCATTCAATTTTTAAAAATCAGTGTGACACTAAAAAAATGTTCTAACAGTAATGTTCAATTTTAGAACAAAATACCATCACTGGCTCATCACAACTCCATACACAAATATAAAAGAAATGCAAAAATGATAAAAATCTCTGGATCTCAAAGTGATCCCAGAAGTTGAAGGGAGCTCCAATGCCAATATTGTATGAAAGAAAAGAAAATACCACTCAATAATAAAGATAAGACAATAAACTAGGGTAGAATAAAAAGGAGCCCACAAAGAGTGAAAATTGAGAGTAAATGGTTTATTTGGGTCTGTTGTTACATATGTTTTGTCTGTTTTTCTCCTTCAATAAGGTAAGCGGATATGTGAGGGATCTAAAAATAATCCCCAGTTATATCTTACTTTTTCAGTAGGGATAACTTTATATTAAAGAAATAATGATGGGCTGGGGATGTAGCTCAGTGACTGAGTGTTTGCCTGCCATGCATGAGGCTTTGGGTTCAATCCCCAGTACCTCAAAAAAAAAAAAAAAGAATGATTTATATTCCACTGTCACTTTAGCAACTAACTGTAATATTAAAATGATTATTATTTTTTGGCAGTAGAGGGCTTGAACTCAGGGCTTTGCACTTGCTGGACAGGCACTCTACCACTTGAGCCAGCCTCCAGCCTTATTTGTTTGAATGATCATAATATGCCTTGATTTTTTTCTGCTTTAAAAACTGTAAGTCAAGTGTATTGAAAAGAACTTTTTTGTTTCCTTAATTTCAAGAAATATGTCTATTTAATTCCTAATAAAACTTTCTAAAATGACAACAATATGAAGTTCTAAAATACCAGAATATTAAGTAATCCAATTATAGCTATTTAAATTAGAACACTCAAAATTAGATCTTGAGGGCTTTAAGACACCTTTTTTTTCCTTGGGTGTTTCTGGGGTTTGAACTCAGGGCCTTGTGCTTGGTAGGCAGGCAGTCTACCATTTAAGCCACACCTCCAGACTTAAAACATTTGATTCCTTGTGCAATAAATTTCACTGAGAGATGCTGATGTCCGTATGAAATTTGGGTGCCAGTATTAAAGTAAGTTTTTAAAAAATTATTTTGCTTTTTGAGACCGTATCTTACTATGTAATCTAGGTTGGCCTTGAACCCACAATTCTCTGCCTCAGCCTCCTGGGTGCTGAGATTACAGACTTGTACTATCACACCTGGCTGTAAAATTTTTTTTTAAGAAGAAACTCATAATCTCAATAATCCTGTAAAAATCAGATGAAAGTAGAGTATTTATACACAGTATATGTACAGATGCCTAAACAAACATTTTTAGAGGGAAAGGAATCATATTTAATATTTATAGCCTACAATCACTTTCTTCTAAAGATGATGAAAAAAGAATTAGTACCTAGGCATACAACCAGAGGTTATGAAAGGAACCCAAAAGTAGTTAAAATACTAAAATTCTTTGCAGTGTAAAGAAAAGCAAAAAAAAAAAAAAACCACCCTTATACTACAAATCTTTAATTTTACAAAAACAAAAATAGACAACTATTATCAATGATAAAAATTTAAACAAAAACTCTGAGCCTACTTTGTAAAACTCCTATAACATATGTTGCAGTGAGTTAAGGTTTAAGCTCAAAGAGCATGGATACAGTATGACAAGAGTTTACCTTTTCTTAGATCATCACAATTTCACTGAAAGATAAAGTGAGTAGTCCCTTTGTGACTTTTATACTTTATTACCTTCAATACAAAGTCTGAATGTTTCCATTGTTTAAGTCACAGGAATATTATCCAAATATGTTTAAAATACCAATATTTAAATTTTACAGTAAAGAACATCATCATACTCTGAAAACAGGCCTGATTTAAATATAATTTGAATAACTATGGGGGTACTTACTGTCAGAAGATTTCTTTAGCAAATACTGGTTTCTTGTATTTAAAAAAATCAGCAAGACAGAATTTTTAAAAGTCTTAATTTACAATATATTGTAAACTTCAGTCAACAACTGCCACGTGTTATCACAGGCCAGCACAAGTAAAAAAATGTTTTCTAGATGTTTATAAGACTTTGTATCTTCCTTTATTTGTTGGTTGGTATGAGTTTTGCTGTGATAGAAAATAAAAGATACATGGTCAGAAAAAAAGCAAGAAAAGAGGAAGCATTTAAGATCATTTCCTGTATCAACTTATAAAACTATCAGGTAGTTAAATAAAAACGTTAGTATTACTGCACTGAAGTAGAAGGAATTGTTCAATAATGAGTCATTCCTCTTTGTTCACCAAGTGCTCTTTGATAACTGTGTTTCCAGTCAATTTAATGGTGAGGCATAGACAGGCATAAGGTTCTTTTTCTAACACTTCTTGGTGAAACTCTCAAGTCCCAGATTTAAAGGCTGTTCCCTTCTTATCTTATTTTGTGTACCCTCTTTTCTTTAATCTTCTTATCCCCCACCCAAGATTTTCCTGCAAGTAGAATTTTAGAAAAACCTTCAACCACATAGTCTTAAGAGAAAGAATAAGATTCTCTTTCAAAGTACCCTCGTCCCAGTGTACCTGTTGAAGGCAGTTTATGGACTTTAACTGGCATTAAAGACACAAGGCATGTCTAACCTCTTTGGAAAAGTAGTCTCAAAAGGGCTGCTCTATTCCAAAATCAAATTAAGCCATTGCCTAAGTTTAAAAACACTGACAGGGCTGAGGGCAGAGCTCATGTAGTAGAGTAACTGCACAAGACCCTGGGTTCAATCTCTAGTACAGCAAATAAACAAATTGACAACACCATGTATTAGCAAAGATGTAGAGTAACTGGAATTTTCACACACTGCAAGAAGTGTAAATTGGTGTAACTCCTTTGGAAAATTATTAGCAATGTCTTCTAAAAAACTATATATATTCTACAAATAGCAATTTTACTCCAAAGTATATATCCAAGAAAAAAGCATATTAATGTGTACCAAAAAGCCATAGAAGAGTATTAACAGAAGTGTCATTCATTAAAGCTGAAAACTAAATAACCCCAAAGTACAACATGTATGTTAAATGTTAAATATTCATACAACTAAATACTATACAGCCAGAAAATGAAAGACCTACAACAACAGATTGATCTCCTCCAAATAATGCTGAGACACAAAAGGAGTACGCAGCATGTACGACTCCACTTATATGGCGTTCAAAACCAGGCAAAACTAATCTATGATTTTAAAAGTCATAATATGGTTACATTGGAAGGAGACAGAGACAAGGAAGTCATAGGAAAGGCTTCTGGAGGCTGGTAATGTTCTATACTTGATTTAGGTAGAGCGTGACTGCATTGATGTGCCTACTCTGTGAAAAATCAATGAGCTGTGTTTATGGTGTGTGTGTTTCTCAGTATTTAATTAGAATTAATAAGGCATTTATTAAAACAAAACAAAAAAGCCCTTGAGGCTTTTACTCACCAGTCGGATCAGCTCTTCCTTTATGAGCCTGGTGATTTCTGCTTTTGCTTTCTGCACAGCCAGCTCATTGGCACCTGTGATTGGGTAGAAAATACTCATATTACTAGAATTACACTGTTTACCCATGTCATGGAGTCCAGGAGGAAATACTGTAGGTCAGAACACTGCTGAGATAGCCGTTCAATACCTGATAGACCATCACCCATGTACTACAACAGCTGCTTATCATTCTGAATACTTTTAGAGTGTCTAATGTAACCACTGGAGGTTCTATTACATTTATTGGTAAGAGTTCTGGTATGTCAGGCTGGGAGTGTGGTTCAAGTGGTAGAGCACCTGCCTAGCAAGCATAAGGCCCTGAGTTCAAACCATAGTACAACATAGGAAAAAAAGAAAAAACAAACAAAAAAAAAGCTTTGGTATGGTGATTAAAAAGAACAAAGAAAAGATGACTAGCAATTTGTCCAGAAGAGAATAAGGCTAAAGGGAAATACAACTTGCTCGGTTTATTGGCCATTTATTATGTTCTTTGAAGTCTACAAGTGTGTGAAGAAGAAGTCTTGTAAACATCTTAAACATAAAGGAAAGACTATCCACACTGGGGGAGAGGAGATGACAAGGAGAGCATTTTGAAAAAAATGAACCACATATGCAATGGTACAGATTTAAGAAGCTTAGCTGAGCGTGGGGGCACAAACCTATAATCCCAACACCTGGAGGTGAAGACAGGAGGATAATGAGTTTAAAGCCGGCCTCAAAACACCAAAAACAATTGGTGGTTCACACCTGTAATCTCAGCTACTCAGGAGGCAGGGATTGCCAGCCTGGGAAAAAAGTTAGGAAGATCCCATATCAACCAGTAAGCTGGGCATGGTGTTATGTGCCTGTAATTCCAGCTGTGTAAGACCCTATTTGAAAAATAATTATAGGGAAAAGGGCTAGAAGTGAATGAAAAGGTAGAATGAATGCCTACCAAGTGCAAAATCCTGATTTCAAACCCCAGTACTGCCAAAAAAAAAAAAAATTAGGGCTGGTGGAGTGACTCAAGTAGTAGAGTGCCTACATGGCAAGCATGATGCCCCGAGTTCAAATCCCAGTATCACAAAAACAAAACACTGAATCTAGGAGGAAGAGAAGGTGTTTTTAACAATGACAGTGGGTAAAATTTAATTCTGCGATTGCTGTAGTTATGCTCATGGGACCTCCAGTTGGAAATGTAAATAAGGCTAATTGAAATATGCACCAGAAGTTTAGGAGAGACGGAGAAAAGAATGCCAGCAAAGGTAGGTGGGGGAGGATCTGAAGCGGGAAGGTAACAGCAGGGAGTAGGTAAGTACAGGTATGTGGCACAGTGCACTAGACCAAAAGAGCCTAGATGGAAATGCCAAAGAAGAAAAGGAAAGTTGGATTGCAACGTAGAGAACTACATTCAAGTCTCATTTGTATATGAATAAGGAAAATAATTCACAAGAATTGAGAGGAAATTTCCCCCTCACTAGAAGTGACTATACTTTTTGATTTCAGAGGGACAGATGCAGAAACAGCTCAAGGAAGGAACAGATCAAGAGCAGGGCTATGAAATCATGGCAACACAATTGTGTAGGGGGACAATGAGTGTTTGAAGAAAGGTGGATAAAGAGAATGTAAGGGTAGAAGCAAGAGCCAAGTCAGACTGAAAATTACAACCAAACTGAAATCTGGAAGGAAAATATGTTGTTGTGACGTTTGCTGCTATTTTTGTGCTATTAGAATAAGGAAAACCCCTCTCACTGAAACCAGGTGAAGAGGAATTTTCCTACTTCAGCAACCGCTTGGCCATTTGCACCAGCATACAATTTTGACTTACGTAACTTCTTTAGCTTACACATGTTTATAGATGACCACGAAAAGGGGGAATTTCCTTTCATTGGTCCTAAAACAACTCTGGTTGCTTTTAAGGGATTCTCCACAAGTAAAAAAAAGGGTCACAGAACAGACTCTATAAATTATACAGGCTGCCTTAGGCTTGTAAGCCCTTCCTGTTCTCCTTCACGCTGCCTGCTGGGAGGCCTTACAGGAGCCACGCAGTGGGGTCCCTCCAATTACAGAACTAGAAACAGATGACCCTGGGCTCCTTCCACGCTAACAACACCTGTTTTCATCCTGTTAGTATTTAGCTGAGTTTGGCTAGAGTTTTAAAAACTAAACAATTCTTTAAAAAATCTAATCTCTCAGAATTCAAGAAGCTTTACATGATTTTAATAACCAGTTGCTAGCTCTTACTCCACATCATCCATCTCTCTAGAATATTAAGACTTCTTTACAGCAAGTTTGCCTTTTTTACTGGGGGGGGGGAGGGAGAACTTGCTTAGATTATTACAAAAATTACAGGTTACTTCCTGAGTACAGCTGACAGTGTAGGAAAGTGCCCAGAACCATACTAGGTAGAAAGACAAGAGAAGCTGTGAACTGCATACTATAATTATCTTACCTCATGTCACTCGGCAGTATACATGTGTTCTAATAAAAGATATATGTAAATCCAACTTTGATATATGAATTATACTATACTATGCAAGCCTAACAATCTTCAATAAATCAAACACAAAAGATCCTTTTTCAAAGTAAATAACTGTGGCTCTGATTAATCTCTTTGAAAATAAGGCAAGCTTTTAAGGTATGAGTTTTGCTTAAATGATAGCTTGATAGGCAGAGAATAAAAGTATGGCTCCATGGATAACAAAGGTTTTATCACCATTTGCATATCCTGTCTCTCCATCCTGTACAGTCTAATTCATTTAAAGTGCAGAAAGATGGTGTAATTTTCTCTGCCCGAAGATCCAGGTGCCAGCAACCCACATTTTACTACATAGTAAGGAAGCGTCAGATGATTTAGAAACACAAAGAAGGCTAGGTGTGCAGCTCAGTGGTAGAGCGCTTGCCTAGTACACAAGCGCCCCTGGGTCTGATCCCCTGCACTGCTGCCCTAAAAAGAAATATACTAAAACATTAACAGACCAAAATTCTTTCAGGATATATAAAATGGATGCCATTTTAAAACCTGACTCGAAATAGCTATGTCAGTTTTTCAGTCACAAATGAGAACAAAAGAAAATTCAGTTTGCTTATTTCTGGACACACAGCTCTTGTACAACACTAAAAAATATGTATGAAACTGGGCTGGGGCTGTAGCTCAATGGAAGAGTGCTTGTCTAGCATAAATAAACCCTGAGTTCAATCTTCAGCACCAAAACAAAATTAAAAAAAAAAAAAAAAAACGGTAGTGTGGCAAAATACATAGAAAGCAAAAGGGCGGCATTTGGGTTTCACCTTTGCAACAATACATCCCTAATTCAAAACTCTATTTGTAAGAGTGACAACAAAAAAGGCAGAGCAGAGGACTCCAAAAAGCTTGTGCCTCCACAAAAACAGAATAAACTTGCACAGTCTGTCAAAAATCAACTTTCATTGAATTCTGGAAACTAACAGTTTTGTAACAACCAGGCACACTCAGGAGAGAGAGGAAGAAAAAACAACAACAACAACAACAAAAAACCCATTAAATCTCTTTAACAGAGCTTTTCATTGTTGTACCCTGAATCATTTTTCCCTCCAAACTCACCCATACTCTGCCCAGTCTTGAAGACAACAGCCTACACTCCTAGGATCAGAAAGAACTTCTCAAAGAAACATGGTTGGTTGTTTTGACCCGCTCTGCCAGGTGGCTCCCTGAAAGACCAACTTAAAGAGCTTGCCTTCATTTCACCTAAGTCAGAAATCTCCCAGAGCTAAGACAGCTATTCAGAAGGGGGACGATGCACTTGTTAAAAAAGCCTTTCTCCCTGGGACAAGTGTAACAGCTTGTTCAAAAGACAAAAAGCTTGGGAGGAAAGGTTGGGGAATAAAATGCTTTGGGGAAATAAGGGCTTTGTAAAAGCTCCGCAATACTTGGAAACCTAGAAGGCCATGTGCACAGCCAGAGTGGAGCACAGACTCAGAAAATACCGGAGAAGGCCCTCAGCTCTCACCTCTGGCTGACCTCCAGCCTGTGTGTGTAAACAGAAAGCAAAACCTAAGGCAGAGTTGTAAACTGCCTGGGTGAGGAGCTTCATGAAGGTTTGCCCGAGCACACACACACACCATCTCTGTGAAGACTAAGAGATATTTTCTTCTTCCCAGGCATTTAAGCAAATCTCTGTTGAGTCATTAGTTTACTTCATTAGACAGATGAAATAAAATCACTAAACAGTTACAATAAGCAGCAGCAACAAACAACAGGCAGAGGAAAGAATCTGATTTCCAGTTAAGACATTCATAAGTCTAGTTCTCATCAATAAAAAGATGAAGAAGTATGTAAAGAAGAAAGCATGGCCCTTTCCAAGGAAAAAAAATAAATGAAACAATCCATGAGGAAGCTCAGACACTGCACTTAATAAAGACTTGAAGTCAACTACCTTACATATGCTCAAAGAGCAAAAGGAAACCATGGACAAAGATATAATGGAAACCAGGTAAAGGTTGACACAAATAGGGCATCTCAATACAGAGGACAGAAACAACCGAACCAAGCAGAAACTCTGGAGTTAAAAGGTACAATAACTGAAATGAAAAACTCATTAAAGGTATTAATAGGCAGATCTGAGCAGCCAAAAGAAAGAATAATTGAGTCTGAAGACAAGTCAATTGAGATTGAGCCTGAGAGGCCAGGAAGAAGAGCTCAAGAGACCTGTGGGACACAATCAAATGCACCAATATATACCTAATAGGAATTCCAGAAAGGTGAGGAAGGAATAGAAAGAATGTAAGAGGAAATGGCCAAAAGTTTAATTTAAAAAATGGAGATATGGAATACACTCACATAATCAAAGTGCTAAAACACAATGATAAAGAAAGAGTCCTGGAAAAGCAACTCATCACATATAGCATCCTCAATGACATTAATAACTGATTTCTCATCAGAAACCATGGAGACCAGAAGACAATGAAACGACATTGAGAGAGTAAAAAGAAAAAAATAAAACTATACTTCAAAAGTGATGGCAAAAAAAATATTTTTAAAGGTGAAACTAAGACATTTACTGGGCACAGTGCTCATGCCTGTAATTCCAGATGCCTTGAGCGGTAGACAGCCAGATGATGGCAGTCTGAGCCCAGCCTAGGCAAAGGTTAGCAAGACCCCCAAGCCAACAAATAAGCTGGGCATGGTAGCTGGTATCTGTTAATGCCAGCTACACAGAAGTTGTATGTAGAAGGATCTCAGTCTAAGGCTGGCCTGGGCAAAAAAGCTAGACCTTATCGAAAAATAGCCTAAAGCAAAAAACCACTGTCTCAAGCATGCTTAGACTTGTCTTATAAAACATAGTAAAAGGAATCCTCCACACCAAAGTGAAAGGGACTGGAGTTATTTGAATCCACATGAAAAAATAAAGGACACAGTAAAGGTAACAACATAGATAAATACGAATTCAGTATTATTTTTAGTTTGCAGATCTACTTTTTTTCCTATATAATTTAAAAGAAAACTACATAAATTTACAATTGTAAACCTATGATGAAGGGTATATAATGTATAAAGATGTACTTTGTGACAAAACAACAAAAAAGTAATGAGACAACTATATAGGAGCAAAGTCTTTATATATCATGAAAACTAAGTTGGGAGACAGGGAGACAGGTGTAACTCAGTGGTAGAGTGCATTTTAGCATGTACAAGGCCCTGGGTTCAATCCACACCATCTCCCAAACAACAAAAATCCTCTGAGTTAGTTTAAGATGCTAATTCTGTGTGTGTGTGTGTGTGTGTGTGTGTGTGTGTGTGTGTGTGTGTAAATGAGAGCAAATCAAAACAGCAAACAAAATATTCAGGAAGCTAAAGCAGGAGGACTGTTTGAGCCCAGGAGCTTGAGGTCACCCTGGGCAGTAACAGTAAAAGAAAAAAACAGAGAGAGAGATATGAGAGGGCACAGAATAAAATATCTAACAACAAAGAAGGAACCAATTAAGACTTGTTTTTTCTAATTTCAGCATTTACAGTTATAAATTTCTGAGTACTGCTTTTATAGTACCCAAATTTGGCAAATGTACTAAAAGTTAATGAATTGTACATCTTAAATGGCTAAAATGGTGAATTTAATATTAAATGGTGACTTTTACTTCAATAAAAAGTTCTAATGGTTAATATCTAAAATAAATATTTCATACTTTCAGTCCTGAGTGGCATAAGAATGCTGACAAATGTTAAAACCAGGTCTAAATGGGGATGGTCTAAGCTGAAAAGAGCAAAACTGGCAATCTAAGCCCTGCATTAAGGACAGTGCTGTGACGCCAAGGAGGAGAAGCCAGCACAACTGGTTCACTATCTAGCAGTTTTAGACAGCACTAGATAATGTTTCTATTACACATGAAGTTAAAAAACAAAGAAAAAAAACCATACTTACAAATTTATTACAGCCCAGACTCACCAAAAGAAAACAAAATCTATTACAAGCCAGGTGCTGGTGGCTCACACCTACAATCCCAGCTATATGGGAGGCTAAGATTGGGAAGACTACTGTTCAAGGCAGCCTGGGCACAAAGCTCAAGAGACCCCCATCTCCAAAATAACCACAGCAAAATGGATGGGAGATGTGGCTCAAGTGGCAGAGCAACTGCTTTGCAAGCACAAAGCTCTGAGTTGAAATCCCAGTCCAACCCCCCTCTTCCCCCAAAAAACCTATTACAGTATGTTCAGTTTAAATAAAAATAAAGTATGCCAGGTTGTGCTATTATAGAACAAAGTAATCAGGAAAACATCAAGATGGAAACTTGCAATAGAATAAATTCACTCAGGAATGAATGAAATAAGGCTGAAAGACTGACCACTCTTAGAAACTGCTTCCCTCATCCTTTAAGTTGTGGCATCAACTGTCCACATGATCGTTTGTTAAAGGTGTCAATGAGCTTCACTGAGCATAATTTCAGAGGCAAATTTTGCTGAAGAATTCATTAAATAGATGAATACAGCTGATTTTCTTTCTAACCTAAACTTTGGTCAGAATATTTCATTTAGTAGAAGCATAAACAGGTAGGTCCTTAAAATTCTTATTTTTTTTAGAATGACTTTCAAATTTAAGTTGACAACAGATCATTCACTTTTTTACATTCACTAAACTTCAAAACCAACAGTGCATACTTTCAATTGCCAAATAGATTTTCCGCTCTCCTTCCTTGGGTTCTTTGCCAGGAGGGAAGTACGTTCCTCTGATTGTAATGGCAGCTTCAGAATATTCACTTATTCTTTGTAGAGCTTCCTTAGAGGTAACCTTCCACCTAGCCGTCTAAAAGAAAGGGTGGGAGGAAAAAAAAAAAATCACTTCGTAACAAAAATCACTTCATAATGTAAAAATCTGTGCAAAGAACAAGGGGTGGCTTAATGTAGTACAATCAATATTATGATAATTACCACATACCTACATTATAAGTTCCTTTAGATCCTAATAACACACCAGAACACATTCAGAAATACTGAGAACAATGCTACAATGCAGGGAGATGAAACCAGCACAGGTGGTTCACTTATCCAACCATGTCAGTAAAAAAATGAAGTCACTAATGCTCATTTTAAAATATTCACGTGTGAACTGGGGGTGTGACTCAAAAGTAACAGCCCTTGTCTAGCAAGTGAGAGGCCTTAAGTTCAATTTCCAGTACTGCCAAAATAAAAATAAAAAACAAAATGTTCATGTGTTTTGGGGAACTGCAGGTGTAGCTTGGTGGTAAAGTGCTCTCCCTACCATGTGTCAGACCCTGGGTTTTGATCCCCAACAATGCAAAAATAAATAAATGAACAAGTAAATTGTTCATGGGTTTTAAAGAAGGGATTTTTGTTCCTTCTTTAGGAACACAATATAAAAGTGTTCAGATCTGTCACTTGCCTGTGGGAAGTCATTGATCTCTAATTCTTCCTCATATCTCTTAAAAGATTCATTCTGTCCACCGTCCTGTCGCTCTTCTTCTTGTTTCTCTAAAGGCACGTAATTGAGCTTGGCATTGATCTTTTCTGCAAGCTGCTCTGCAATGGTTTTTGCAGACACAGTGGGAGCAAGAATAGTGCCGCCTCTGAGAATGGCATTGGTGGCCTGCTGCATCACATCCTGCAGTTAAAGAAGATCACAGTCAAATCTCATATGAGGGCAGAGACAGGACCAAGGACCATGCCACAAGTTATTCACAAATCCTATTTATTTAACTCTTTAAATACACAGAAAGCATCTTTCTAATGAAGAGTCTTCTCAAACGTGCAATTTTGCAGTATGTTTTTGACCAGTAGTTCACTGTATCTTATTCTTGGTGAGAAAACTGAGTAATATTCAATTTATCTATTAAATATTCCACTGGATCACAGATATACCCTCGATAATGAACTACTTCATAGCACACACAGTATCGTATTTCTAAAATCATTCATGTATTTTGTGTCTCCTAGAAGTTTCCTCTGAATTAGAATCTTTGTACCACTAATTTTACTGAGGTTCTCCTCTATCATGGCCCAACCCAACATTCAATAAATTACAGTAAATGACTAACTCAAAATACTCTGAAATTAGTAAGCCATTCTTTCAGAATGCCATGAAAATTTACTTAGTTAAAAGTTGATTTTAAAAAAAAGGCTCCCAAGAAAATGATACCATGTGAAGTATTTAAAGAACATACTGCCTCACTATTTAAACTTGTTAGTTTGAGTCATAACTGGGTGTTTGCACATTTAGGGAACTGGTTGTGTACCCAATTATGCACCCAATGAGAGATTAAGGGAGTGGGGGGAGAGCGACTGGAAGTATGGCTCAAGTGGTAAAGTGGTAGAGCACCTGTGAGTTCAAACCCCAGTCCCACCAAAAAAGAAAGAAAGAAAGAAAGAGGGCTGACAGAGTGAGTCAAGTGGTAGAGTGCTTGCCTAGCAGTGGGAAGCCCTGACTTCAAAACCTCAATCCAGAGTTCCCAAAGAAGGAAGGAAGAGAGGGAGAGAAAGGGAAGGAGGAAGGGAGGAAAGGTGGGAGGAAGGGAGGGAGGGAGAAAAGGAACAATACTTCTAATTGAAAACCCCAAATCCAAAATGCTACAAATTCATAACTTTTTGAGCATCATGTCCAGTTTCAAAGCTTAGGGTACTTTGGATTTTCAGAGCAGGGATATTCAACTGCTCTATCAAAACCATGGTTAACATGCCTAACAGGCACTCTAGAAGAAGCACACAGCCCTGTGTTAACCACACCAGTGAAATCATCCAAATGCAAATACCAACGAATCCTTGAAAATGCTAAATTCTTACAAACCCGGCTTATAAGAAAAGTTGTTGACTCATGCTCGATATAATTCTTGAAAATTATCTAAATCAAAGTAATGACTGAGATTCGGAACAAAGTACTTAATACCTGAGACTCGATGCCCAAATTCTTCTGAGCATTGATTCTAAGAGCCAGTCTTTTGGCAATTTCTAATTTCTCAGCATTCCCTGCAGTTGGAGCAGGGACACTAGACGTCCCAGGAGCAGCCATGTCCTTTACTCTCTTCTTTGAATTAAACATGCTTTCAATTTGTTCATCAATCTACAACAAGGAAAAATCAGGGAAGGTTAGTAAAAACTGGATCAGAAATACTTATATCCACAAAAATTAGTAAGGAAAGCATTCACTGAAAGTCTAGAATCAGACAGTTAAAAAACATGCAAATTAAACTACACATGTCAATAGGAAAATATACCAGCTATACTAATATTACTATACCATTAATATCTTTAATGGTGATATATTTCATTATAACAATTCACTGTCTATGGTGGAAAAGTAAACAGATACAATTTTGTATGAACCATTTAATCAGATTTCTAAGAGGTCCAAAAATATACCCCAGTATGGCAAATAAATACACGCTCAAGACAGACTCGGCCGTATGATGCACCTCTCCTGCTCCAGGGCTCAGATATTGAGGCCAAATTATCCTACAATGAAAGAAGCTGGAAAGCGGGTATAACTCAAGGCCAGTGGATAACTAAAACACAACCAGTAATTCTCAGGGCAATGGTGCAACATGTTCTAAAGGCAGGGCTCTCATTCTCTACTCCAAAACTGCAACTGGATTTGCCTTAAAAACTGGTTAATGGTCAGGTGCTTACACCTGTAATCTCAGCTATTGAGGAGGTGGTGAGCAGAAGAATCAACTTTGAGGCCACCCTGAGCAAAAAGTTATCAAGACACACACACACACACACACACACACACACACACACACACACACACACACACACACACACACACACACGGCACAAAGGGGCGGGGTGAAATGGCTCAAGGTGTAAGCCCTGAGTTCAAGTCTCCGTACCAAAAAAGAAAACATCTAAATAAATACATAAAATCAAGAATGGGAGACTGGTAGAATACCTGCCTAGCAAGCACAAGGCCCTAAATTCAAAAGCCAAAAAAATCAAGAATGGAGACTGTGTGTGGTGCTGGGTGGTAGGGTTAACTTTACTTTTGGTTTATTAACTTAAGTTGTTTTATTCTTTCTTTTTACAAAAGTTATATATTACTTTTAACAGCTAAAGAATCAACATAGGTCATCATGAGATTTTTTAAAACTGTTTAAAAAAATAATATAAAAAGTTGACCAAGATGGTTTTAAAGCATGGCTATAAATTATTTTCCACTCTTTCCTTCACAAGGTGGAGCCCCACACTTGAATGTGAGATGGACTTAGTGATTTGCTTCTAACAGAAAATTGGAGGTGATGGTATGTGACATCAGAGACTAGTTATAAAAGGCACTAAGGCTTCCTTTAGTACATGTGCACTCTGTTATCTTTCCCTCTGGAGGAAGCCAGCTTCCACAGGGAAAGTGGAGAACTGAGGCACCCTGCAAACCTTCAAAGGACTGCAGCCTAGGCCAACCACTTGACTGCAACCTTAGAGAGCCCAAGTCAGAGCTACCTGGCTAACCACCCAACTTTTCGTTTCTCTGGAACTATAAGACAATAAATGCTTATTATTTTAACTTGGTAAGTTTTGAATTGATTTATTACACAGTAACAGATACCCAGAACATTGACTTTATTGAACTCTGAGCTAAAAAGGCATACAAGAAAGAAATGGTGGGCTAGAGGAGTGGCTTATGCATAGAGTGCCTGCCAAAGAAGCATGAGGAACTGAGTTCAAACTCCAGTATCCCCCCACCCCAAAGCAAACAAGCAATGACCTTGAGTTACTAGGAAATCAGGGCCCATGTGCTGGTTGTGTTTAACTTCCAGTGTGGTCCTAGACCAAATTTTACTAGGCCTTACTTTCCTCAAGGACAAGATCAGAATGAATCCCTGTTCTGAGATAGAGTTGGATTTTTTGAGCGAAGGTACTGTTATATACTAGGCAGATTAGACAAATTATTATTGATATATCCTTTTGGGATCAGGATTCTGAAGAATACAGTCTGAAAGCTCCAATTTGCTAAGAACACGGGCTTTGATAAGAGTAATACTAACTGTGCAAACCTGAAGTATTCTTCCTTTGCAGGCTTAAGTCTCCTGATTATAAAATAGAAATATTCTGAGTTACATGGCTACTATGAGGAAATAAGCATCTTTTTTTTCTCTTTTTCTGTTTATTTTTTATAGTAAATCAAATATCATGTAAAACACTTGACACAGTGTGTAGTACTTAGTGGCACTCAAAAAATGTTTACTGATATTAAGGATGTTTGAAAATTATCAAATTTAAGAAGACTAAAAACCACAGTATACATCTATAATGCCAGCACTCAGAAGGTTGAAGCAGGAAGATTGTTAGTTCAAGGCTAGCTAAGGTTACATAGTAAGACCTTGTCTCAAACATAAATCAAAAATAAATATATAGATACACAGAAAACAGTCTCAGGAGGGGGTGTAGTTCAGTGACAGAGAGCACTTGCCTACCAATGCAAGGCCACAGATTTGATAGTCTCTGTTGTTGGGGGCATGACTCAAGTGATAGAGCACATGCCCAGCAAGCACAAGGCTCTGAGTTTGACAAGCCTCAGCACTGCCAAAACAAAACAATGTTTTTTGAGGGATGGGAAGCCAGGCTCTCTTTCATATTACTATGGTGGGTGCAGACTGGTACTGTCTTGCTGTAGAACAATCCAACAATGTTTAAAAGACCATATTAAGCATACTTCTTGGCCTAGCAATTCCACTTACAAATAAATCCACAAGACTTAATCTGACTGGTGTGCAAGGATGTGCAATGAAATAGTTTGCAATAGTAAATTCCAAATAGTGAATGTACTGAAAACTAGGAGTTTGATTCCCTCTACTATAAAACATCCACATAATGAAGTATTATGTACCCATACAGAGAAAGAGTGAATTTACTAATTGAAAGACTTTTACATACTATTTTTGTAAAAAGGTTATAAAGCAAAAAATAGATAAATATGAACATATGTGTCTCGCCCCACACATGCACACCCAAGGAAAACTGCTAGAAGGAGAATCAATAAGCCTTCAGCAAGACCACCAGTACACAATGACTTCAACTGCAAGAACGAGACTCAGAGAAACACTTACATCCACCGCAGCATCCTCGTCATCTGAGTCTTGTAGACCAAGTGCTGCTTTTTGTAACTTCTTCCTCTCATTGGCCAATGCTTGTTCTGTTTCATCAAACTTGAATCCCTTGCCAGAGAACCCACTACTCTTTTTAATTATTTTTCCTTCCTTTTAAGGAAAATTTAAAAAGTTAATTTCAGAGTAAAAATGTATTAAATATTTTAAGGTGGTATATGCCAATGGAACAAAAGTCACCTTGCATGTTTAAAAAAAACAGAGCTCTATATAGATTTCACAACATACTAAGTTCAAGCAAAAATAGATGATTTTGTTTTCACTTCCCCCCTCAATGAGTAAATGACAATAGTCTTATCAAGATGTTCAAATACTAGTCAAGCGCCGGTGGCTCACTCCTGTAACCCTAGCTACCCAGGAGGCAGAGATCAGAAGGGTCGAGGTTTGAAGCCAGCCTGGGCAAATAGTTCATGAAACCTTATCTTGAAAAAAATCCATCACCAAAAAGACCTGCTGGAGTAGCTCAAGGTGTAGGCCCTGAGTTCAAACCCCAGTACCGGAGTGAAAAAAAAAAATTTCAAATACTAGTTATATTAATGATTTGCATAAACGAAACAGACATTTTAAAACTCACAGCTTTCTGCTGATCTTTGAAATCGCTCCAAAGTTTCTCTAGATCAGGAGGCACTGCAGTCCCTGACAATTCAAGAGCTTTAATTATGTCACCAGCATAGCGAGCTTGGTCTTCGGTGATAAAAGTATAGGCATAACCCTAATGGAAGAGGAAAATGTGGCACTATTAGGCACAAACACAATGAATCCTACTTAGATCACAAATAAGTGCAAAATATGAACTACCTAATAAATCCTTCAAATCTGACACTATTAGTAAACAATTTTAAAGGCCGGCCAGGTGCTGGGTGGCTCATACCTGGAATTCCAGCTACTTGGGAGGCAGGGATCAAGAGGATGAGGTTTGAAGCCAGGAGACCTTATCTCAAAAATGCCCAACACAAAAACAGGGCTGGTGCAGTGGCTCAAGTAGTAGAGTGCCTGCCTAGCACCAAACAAAGAAATAAACCAAAACAAACACTATAAAGGCCAGAAAAAAGTCCTATTAAATTCTTCAATGCTTCAAAGTGAAATACATGTTTAATATTTAAAATAAGGGAGCTCAAAGTGTAGCTCAGCGGTAGAACACTTGCCTAGTATGTGCGAGACCCTTGATTCAATCCTCAGCATTGCCAAGTAGATAAATGAGATAAGCAAAACAAAAAAATTTCTTAATTTCTTTACACCTAAGTAGAAATATGTGAGATTTTACACAACTGCGTTATTGTATATATTAATTCTCTTTAGTGTACATTTTAATCTTCCTCTTTTTTGCTTTTAACTCATATTTGCCGCGAGCTGTGCGAGCTCCTGGTCCTACCTAACTGGGGGCGACTGGAGATGCAAAAAGGACAAAAGATAGAAGACAAACATGAGAAAGTTGGGATCAGGTGTACTTTGCTTCTTTATCTATTCTTTAAAACCTTTCTTCTTTTTTATTTCTTAAACTTTCTTTCCTAGATTCGCTTTGTCCCATGTTTTCTTTAATTTCAAAGTCTTGGCCTTCAGACTCACACTATCCCATGGTCCCTTTAATCTCTCTTAAAGTCTTGGCCCTCAGACTTATGCTGTCCCATGTTCTCTCTTAAAAGTCTCAGTCCTTAGACTCGCAGACACACAAACAACCAGCAGCAGCAGCAGCAGCGGCAGCTGCCAGCCACTGTCATTCAGCCGCAGTCCCCTCAAACCACCCTGGCAGTAGCTTCTGCCTCTCCCAAGCAGCCAACCAATCAATCAACAATCTTCAACCAATTCCTCCCTTTCCATTCAGCGAGTCTTTATATACAGTGGTAAACAAGGAGGTGGACCAACAGTCACGGGAAGGGGTGTGACACTGTAACAGGAGAAACCTGCGATCCCACTTCTCTGAACATAAACATCTTAGGAAATGCAACTGTGCTTCACTTTGCCCTCTTCTATGACCGGGGCCATGCCAAACTCAACCTGTAAATTTGACACAGCTATGCTTATGTCAGGTTCTCACAGGCTTCTCATAACCTGCTCTCCGCAGATATTAACTTCCTAGGATATTGCTTTCCATATTTTTAGACCAAAAAAAGTATGTAAATGCGTGTATATTTGATTATAAGTACAAAGGACTTTATTATTTATTTTTGTAGCTATTTTACAAAAGTGAGATCAACTTCATCACCTTCCTAGGATTCTCTAAAGACTAAAGTTTCATTTGCCCCCCCCAGCGACTTCTTTGATACAATGATGTGGAAGGCCGTAGTGGTGGTAAGACAGCAGCAAACCATACTCAGGTTGTCTTCTTCACAACACACTCTGCCCCAGTGAACTATTATAAAAACATGGTTTAGATTTTACTTCACCATGGTTGAGCCATGGACTGTCACTGTGCCTTCCATAAGCTAAGAAAATTTACAATTTTATAGGGTTTAAATGCATATACAAAGGAATAAAGAACATGAGACTGTATGTGGCCCAAAAAACTACAGCTTTTAGTACTTGACTTTTGACTGATCACTTTCCGATTCCTCAGAATATCTCAGTTAAAGAATAAATGCTATCATTATCTACATGTTGTGTAACCTCAAGTGTGTGACAACTTTTAAGTGCATTTTTTCTCATCAATAAAAGGACTAATACTTACCTCAAAAGGAAGTTTTGAGGACAAAATGCAATGACATATGTAACGAATTTAGAGCTAGTGGGGTGACTCAAATAATAGCAATGCCTGCCTAGCAAGCCTCAGGCCCTGAGTTCAAATCCCAGTACAACAACAACAAAAAAAAGACCTAGAATAGAGTTTGGCACACAATAAGTACACCATAAATGTAAGCTATTAATACTATTGTTGCTCCATTAGGAAACATCCAAGATTGGAAAAATCAAATATATTTCTGTCTGCATCTCTAACAACAGAATACTCTGCTGTTGCTCTATTGCTTTCAAAAAGAATGTCTGACTCTGGTTGTAGTTCATTGGTAGACCATTTGCTTACCCAAATGCAAGAACTTGGGTTTTTATCCCCAGCACTGCCAAAAAAGAAAAAGAAAGAAAAAAACAGAAAAAGGAAAAAAGAATGACTTTGCCAGCTGTGGCACATGCCCATAGTTCAGGTAGCAGGGGAATCACTTAAGACCAGGAATTTGAAGACAACCTAGGCAATACAGTAAGATCTTGCCTCAAAAACCAAACAAAAGAATGACTTAGAGTTACCAGAATACACAAGTCAAAAGAGCAAGCTGTGTGTGTGTGTGTGTGTGTGTGTGTGTGTGATGAAGTGTGGGGTGGGGTGTTTTTTATGCTCCCATGTTCTTAAAAAAAGGCAATAAAACATCCCAAATATACACATATGCATCTATGTGTATAGGCATTTTTAGGCAAAGGAAGGAAAAAAAAAAAACTAAACACACAGAAATGGCTGACAGTATCTGCCAATAGAAAGCCAATAGGAAGTAATTTTAACAATACTCAGACATGCATATGTGTACAAGTAATTTATCATTCTGTACACCCTACTAATACCCCCTTTACTATTATTTAGTGCTTAAAATACTAAAGAAAGGCCTATATTTAATACAAAAGAAACCAACATTTACCTTGTTGCCTGCTCTCCCAGTCCGCCCTGCTCTGTGCACATAGTCCTCATAATGGTTGGGGCAGCTGTAATTTACTACAAGAATCAGATGTTTCACGTCTAGACCTCGGGCGGCGACAGATGTGGCCACGAGAAGTTTGCAGGTTCCATTCTTAAAGTCATTTATGATGCTATCTCTGTCATATTGATCAATACCTGTGAGTAAAGACACAAGCTGTAAAACATGTTGGAATTTTTCATTTCCTTTGACAGAGAAATTAAATATGAAATAAGACTAAAATTGTTAGTGGCAAGATTAAAGGCTATTCACTCATTCATGAATCTCCCAAATTTGCCCATCTTATAACTGCAGAGGTCCAATCTGAGAATCGCCAATTTCAACCCGTTTTAGGGACAAAGAAAAAGCAAAAACATTCAGCCTGCACTAACAGGAATCACGTTTGCCTCTTTCTCTTGTGGGATATTTAGAGCACTGCCACTCGGTTTTGCCCAAGGACCAGAAGCAGCATCACCTGAGCTGGCTGACTAGAAAAGCAGAATCTCAGGTCCCACCCAGAACTACTATGTCAGAACCTGCATTTTAACAAGATCCTTGCGTGAATTTCACATATGTATTAAACTTTAAAAGTATCCAACTTTATCTCTCTTCAGTATGTGACCCAAGAGGTTAGGGATGAATGACAAAGCGGAAGGTAACACAAAAGTGTTCTGGTACAAAATGCCCACACATTTTCTGATGGAATACCCAAGAATCTCTGGTATAGAGAAAAGAATCCTCAAACCTTAAAACTCATATTTGCAAAAGATATCACGTAAAATCTGGGTTTAATACATACACACAGATTCATTATCATCTCTCTTTTCTTTCTTGTGGGGCTAGATATTATAGGTGTGAACCACCAGCACCTGGCAGAACTGTCTTAATGAAAAGAGCCATCAGAAAGAGTTCAGGCTGGATGCCAGTGGCTCACATCTATAATCCTAGCTACTTTGGAGGCTGAGATTGGGAGGACTGCCATTTGAGGCAAGCTCGGGCAAACAGTTCAAAAGAACCCATATGCAAAATAACCAGAGTAAAATGAACAGCAGGCATTGTTCAAATGATACAGTACCTGCTTTGCAAGTGTGAAGCCCTTAGTTCAAACCCCAATCTCACCAAAAAAAAAAAAAAAAAAAAAAAATAATAATAATAATAATAATGAGTTTAGAAGACACACACTGGAAAAGAAAAAGGGGAAAATCTTGGGGAAAAAAAACAAAAACAGAGCAGGCAATGCTCAAGTGTGCATGAGAGCCAAGTATCTTGCTAATACCTAAAGCACACACTCATTGAGCAGAGTCCAAATGGCAGTATGGCTTAAAAAAAAAAAAAAAAAATCAGCTTGAGATTTCAGATGATGCCCATTACAAGAAAAGCAGAGTTTACAGGCTACATCTGGCCAAATTAATGTATTATTTAGAAAAAAAAAAGAAGAAAAGAAAAAGAAAAACAAGGGAACACTAAGAATTCAGAATCTCTAAATGTATCATTCATAAAGTCCAGTGTAAAAACCAGTTATTAAACATACAAAGAAACAGAAACATAAAAGAAAATGAAAAGATAATTGATAGTTTGGTGTCAACATAACCCCAAGGTTACAGTTATTCAGGATGTTAAAGATCTATGCTATGATCAGGGACTTTAAAAACAAAACAAATCAAAACAAAACAAAAAAAACACTTGTAATGAATGCCTGAAAACTACTGAGAAAAACAAGAAAAAATAAGAGAACCCACTGGAAGTTTTAGAACTAAAAAAAAAAAACCCACAATAACTGAATTTAAAAATTCACCAGATGGACTTAACTGCTCATCTGGTTTGTCTAACACACACACACACACCCCAACGAAGTTGAAGACAGAGTAAAAGAAATTGTCCATTTTGCATTATAGAGGGGAAAAGTCTAACAACGACTGCATAAAGCATCAGTGATAGGTGGACACTATCAAAAGATCAAAACATATAAAAATTGGAGTTCTATTAAGAGAAAACACAAAAGCAGGAAAAAGCAAATAAGCAAGCAACAATAAGGAAATAACAGCCACAAATTTACAGATTCTAAAAGCTACATGAACCCCAACCAGAATAAATACAAGGAAAAGTATTCTTAAATAAATTTACCATACAACCCAATAATCTCATTCTTGATTATCTCCACCAAGCAATGAAAACTTACATTTACATAAAAACCTTAACTTGAACATTTAACAGCAACTCAATTCCTAACTGGAAAATACTTGAACTGGGTATAGTGCTTGTTTAGCAACAGCAAGGCCCTAGGTCCCCAGTACAACTGACACTTGCAACAGCATGGATTCATCTCAAGAAGCATGTGCTGAGTGAATAATAATGCATGACTCCACTTCTCTGAAATTCTAAAATAGGCAAAACTAATCTGTTGGAAAAAAAATGTTTAAAACAGTTGCCTCATGCTTGAAGAAAATGTGGGATTGGGGGATTTGTGTGAACATTATATTTTAACAAGGGCTTGAGTGTCACAGCTTACATGCATTTATGAAACTCATCAAATGGTTTGCTTAGAGCTTACATTTTAGCAGTTTGTCTATAGCTTCATTTTTAAAATACGAATTTCAACATCAACTAGTACTAGGAATATGAAATTGAAGTGAAACACAGTGAGCTGATGCTACAACTTACTTTGGAACACATCAAAAAACTAAGAAAAATTCACACGTGGGTAGAAAACAGTTGAAGATATAATAAATACAACAAAATGCTGGTGGTAGAATCTAGTATCAGATATAAGGGTATTTGCTACACAATTCTCTCAGATTTTATGTTCAAGATTTTTAGTAATAAAAATGGTAAGAAAAAGACGTACACAGACACATGGAAAAGCCTTCTTTATCTGAAGCTTATCTTATCTATGACAACCGATTCTACCTCTTGATCACCCTGAAAACTGCTGAGTGGCCAATCTAACAGTCTTATGATGGCGGGGAACAAGCCACAAGTTGGTGATGTCAAGCCACTGAAGCGATCCTTGAATCACTTTGCCATGGGATTTAATAAGAGAAATAATAAAATTTCCTTACAATTTAAGGTAGCTGAGTTCCTATTTTCTATTCCTGGCACAAAACCAAAACACTTTTGGTTTCTCTTTTTTCAGGTTTCTCGTTTTTAGTGCTAGAGATCAAACCCAGGTCATTGCATGTGCTGGGCATGGTAAGCACTCTACCAGTGAGCTAAACCCTCCCCAAATCAGTATTAACAGTGCATGTCAAAAGTCTCCATGAAGCTCTCTGTCCTCTCAGAGCAGTCTGGTGTTTCAGGGTCTCACTGCGTAACCTAGTCTGGCCTGGAACTTTAAAGCAGTATACCACATGAGGAATTTCATGGTTTACATACTTTTTTCAAGTTTTAAAAAGTCTTACCTTCTCCATTCATAAATTTATAAAGCAACTGGGACTTTATTTACCTGTGTATTAATTGAGTTTAATTATAAGACTCAACATCAAACCAAAACTCTCTAGTTCTCTTTCAGAGACTCAGAACTGTCCAAAGAATACATTTGGAATGCACTTTGAGATATAAAACTTACATAGGTAAATCAGTGTTTTGGGGGTTTTTTTTCTGTTTTTTGTTTTTTGAGGTATTGGGGTTTGAACTCAGGGCTTCACACTTGCTAGGAAGACACTTTATCACTTGAACCACTCTGCCAACTTGACAAATAACTGTTAATCAAAATATTTAAAATTTAAAGTACATATAAGACAAAGAAGAAATCATCAAGGGTGAGAAATGTGACTCTGTGTTTCAAATATGGAGAAAAACTAAAGTTCTAGACTAGAAACTCTGCAACAAGTGGCAACAAAAACATTTTTAGCAGGTCTATAATCTCATCACTCAGGAGGCTGGAGGTGGGAGAATTGTGAATTCCAGGCAGCCAGGGCTACAAAGTGAGGCCCTGTGTCAAAAAACCAATGTTTAACAACTTACATATTTAGTATGGAAACAGTAAACTGGTTCACTGATTTTTAACAAATGAACCCCTCTGTTGCAGGGCCTTAATAATGAGGAAGGCTGGGGAAAGGGGCGGGGGATATAGTCAACTCCTATCCTTTCTGCTCAGTTTTACTATGAACCTAAAACTGTTCTAAAAATTAAGCCCCCCTCCTCCCCTTTTTAAGTGATACTAGAGTTTGAACCCAGAGCCTTCACTTTGAGCCACTCCACCAATCATTTTTTGTGTTGGGTTTTTTAAGATAGGATTTTGCAAACTATTTGCCCAGGCTGGCTCTGAATGGAGATCCTCCTGATCTCTGCCTCCTGAGTAGCTAGAATTACAGGAATGAGCCAGTACCTGGCAAGCCCTAATTTTTAAAAAGTAAGTGCAAAAAAGACTGGAATTAAAATGAAATAACCTGGGCATGCACCAGACATATAAACCAATGGCACAGAATAGAGCCAATACCCAGTATCATCCGTAATCACCTGCCAGTTTCTGGTTCTTGGCCAAAACGCCTCACAGAGGTCCACAGGGGCCCCTGGCCAACAGGCTGACTGAACTCCCAGTTAAGAGCCAGTACTAATCACTTCTCGGCCTTTTGGCTAAGATCAAGTGTAGTATCTGTTCTTATCAGTTTAATATCTGATACGTCCTCTATCCGAGGACAATATATTAAATGGATTTTTGGAACAGGAAAGATGGAATAGGGGCTTGCTCCGTCCACTCCACGCATCAACCTGGTATTGCAGTACTTCCAGAAATGGTGCACCCCCTCCTGGGGACTCAAAAAAAAAAAAAAAAAAGAGCCAGTACTAACCTACCAGCCATATAAATGAGGCAAATTGGAAATAGATCCCCAGCCCAACTGAGCCATCCCTGGAGACACAGGATGAAACAATGAGTAGATGTGCTGAGCTGAGCCCAAGCTACAGAAACCTAAGAAAACAACTGCTGCCACTAAACTGGGAAGCAGTTCATTACGCAAAGCCATTGCTAGGGAGAACACCTAGTTAATGAAGGTAATTCAAACTGTTCCACATGTTTTGTTTTAAGCCCCACATATATGTAAATATTTCAATGTCACAGAAATTAAGACGTTACTTTAAAATTGCAATAAAATCTCTAGGTGCATCACAAGAATCTCCAGGAAGCATGTACAATGGGACAAATATAAGGGAAATCCGAAAAGTTTCACTTTAATTCTTCCTTAACTGATTTAAAAGTATTGAAATTTGGTCAAACCAATGCGTGCCTGTATGATTTTTATAGTCTCTAAGACATGGATGCTTACCACAGAAAGCTGCTATAAGTAAATCCCTTTGGTATAAATGATATGAAATTATAGAAACGAAGCAAATATTATTCAGAACACATAGGACAATGTTGGCAAGTCAAGGATAAGGATATAAAAGATATTTCTTGTGTGAATGAAATTAAGCATTACCTCCATGAAGAGACATGCAAGGATAAGACGCCCTCATTAAATCCTTCAGAAGACCATCAGCATGTTCTTGCTTATCCACAAATATAATGACAGATCCCGATTCCTGATAATGGCCTAGAAGCTCGAGTAACTTCAAGAATTTCTTTTCTTCTTCAATCACAATCTGAAAACACCAAATTGTACCAAGTTAATGGAGTAAAAAATGCAAATGTGTACCTTGAGCAGAAATATTCATTTATTCCTTAATTTGTGGTGAAGGAATAAACACTAACAACATCCTATAATTTAAGGAAGAGCTGGGAAATTTTTGATTTTTTAACTGGTAAGCCAACAAATAGAAAAAAAAAATCCTGCAAACTTTCAGAGAATAAGAACTTCTCAAAGGTAGGCAAATGATCATCAGTTCTTTCTGTACTTAACCACAAATCCTAGTAACCAAAGATCAAGATAGGTGTGCTCAGCCCCCCACTTCTGGTGGGAGAAACAAAAAGAGCGTTTTAAACAGTCAGCTCCACATAAGAGAACAATGAAGTGTATCTGGCAGAACACTGATGCACACTACTTAATTTCACAAGTATCTGTCTACCTCACAAACAGTGATGCCAAAACGATCTACACAGTAAGAGGATTGAAGATCTTCTTAAGTACCTACCACTTGCTGCTCCACGTCTGAGCAAACCACACTCCTGCCTCCAACTTGTACTTCAATGGGTTTACTCAGAATTCTGCGAGCCAAAGCCTCCATAGCTCTGGGGAAGGTAGCTGAAAACATAACAGTCTGTCGATCAGGACGAACATTATCCACAATGCGCATGACCTAAGAAAACAGAACAAATACTGTGTCTGTAAGTCTCCAAAACTTATATAAGTTAAAAGCAAGTGGAAGGAACTAATTTTTTGGCAGTATTGGGGTTTGAACTCAGGACCTCATCCTTGCTAAGCAGGTACTCTACTACTTGAGCCATGCCCACAGTCCTAGAAGGAACTTTTGACAACTACTTATAGATATTTTACATTTTTTTACCTTAGAACAGCAGAACTTATTCTAACCTCTAATTTGCTGTTAATTATACTATCTCAAAAAATGACAATTCCACACGCTCAGGTGAATAGTCAAACTGCCATCCATCTTTGTCTAATCTATCACTCACCTTACAACCCCATCAATAAATTCAGTGGTCTTTAAGAGTACATCTAGGGAGTTCCAGCATTGTTTTCCTTCATTTATTCAACACATTTTTAGTAAGCACACCTTATGTGCCAAGCATTGTTAAGTGCTAGAAATATGCAATAAAAGCAGACCAAAGAAGGATGAGTACAGAACGATGGCAGAGTGGGAAGCAATCAGGAACCTGTCTTTCCACCTAGATAACTGCCACAATAGCAAATTCTGTCTGATGTAACTATTTTGGAATCCTGGAACCTCCTGAAGGTTTGAAACTTCCAGGGGAAGACGTGGAAGGTAAACTGTGATTAATTTCCACCAAATTTGAGTGTTTAGCACAGGAGCAACAACCCAGGTGGTGTCCCCTGCCCCGCAGCAGAGAAGTGTGCACATGTTCCTAGAGCAGTCTGCACATCCTGGAGGAACCAGGCTGAGCAAAAAGGATCCTGGTACTCTAAATACCAAGGATGTGTGCTGACTATTACTTTTCATAATTGGGGTATAGACAGAGGAAGTGGTCATTATCGTGGCACCCACCTCCCAAATTGCTATAAGACCCTCCTCCTACAGCTGAAGTGACTTTCAGGGGATTTAAAAGCCAGTGCCTCCTTTTTCTTCCCTTCATTGTTCTTTCTGTCCCTTTTGGGGAATAAAACATTAAAGACAAAGACACTGAACAGCAACTGAATACAGAGAGAAAATTAGAAAGTAGCCACACATTCTCAGAGAAAGGGACAGACTCAGACAAAAAAGACATGAGAAATCACAATAAACTCCTTTGTACAATATACACTAATAAAAAATGAAGGAAAAGAAAAAGACATAAGACCTTAAGTTTACACCTCAGACTGATCCCTGGCAGAGACCACTGACAACAATCAAAACAGCAACAACAGCAAACACTAAGGAAGACTCTTAACTCAGAGTTACATTACTAGATTCAAACACCCAGTTTTCAATAAAACCTCATCAGGCATACAAAGAAACAGGAGAGGATAGCCCATTCAAAGGAAAGAAACCTAGTTAATACAAACTGTCTGTGAAAAAGATGGTGTTGGCAGGTCTGCTAGACAAAAACTTTAAAACAACTATCTTCGCCAGGCACAGGGCACACACCTGCACTCTCACCTGCTCAAGAAGCTGAGGCAAGGTCACAAGTTTTAGACCAGCTGGAGCAACTTATGAATACTTTCCAGAAAACAAATTCTAAAGCTACAAAGTACAACAAATCTAAAATTGACTAGAAACCAAAGACAGATTTGAGCATGTAGAAGCATGGATCAGCAAACTTGAAGACAGGATGGAAAATGGTCTGGTCACCATAGCTCACACTTAACTACTGGGGAGGCCGAGATTGGGAGGACTGCAGTTCAAGGCTGGCCTGGGCAAAAATCTTTGAGAGACCCCATTTCAATCAATAGCTAGGCATGGTGGCACACACCTGTCACCCCAGTTATGACAAAAAGAATAAATCAGGAGAATCAAAGTACAGGCCTGCATGGGCAAAAAAGTGAGACCCCCCCCCGCCATCTCAAAAATAACCAGCAAAAAACTGGGCAGACAATGGAAATGATCAAATCTGAGGCGCAAACAGAAACAAAAAAAAGATTTTAAGAAAAGTAAGCAAAGAACAAGGAAATGAGACAGATTAGGACCCAATCCTCCCTAAGAGGACATGTTTTTCCTCTGTAAAGTCTACATAAAAGGAACTCAAAGAAATTCACCTGAGACAGATCATAATCAAACTTTCCATAGACAAAGACGTTTCTTCAGAGCTGGAGACTGAACCATGGCCTTGCACCATGCACGCTACCACTGCGTGCACTTCCTCCCAACAAAGAATTTTTTTTTTTGAGACAAGGTCTCCCTACGTAGCCCAGGCTAGCCTAGATCTTATAGTCCTCCTGACTGTACTTGCTGAGTAAATATAATTTTTTTTAAATGAAGAAAAATATGCAAATTTTTTTTTGTGTGTGGTGCTGGAAATTGAACCCAGGGCCTCACGCATGCTCTAACACTTGCAGAGGCAAGAGCTCTAACACTAAGCCACACCCCCCCCAGCCTTGAATAACTTCTAAATGCTGTGTGAATGTAACACACGCAACTGAGAAAAGCAAATCATTATTTTTCTCCTGCCAACCAAATCCTCTTCCATAGTTAAACAATATTTGATAATTATCTTAAATTTAAATATATCTTATTATCCCCTAACTTCCTTAACTTCTTAGCATAAAAAAGAAAAAAGTACACAAATGCCATTTGGAGTCTCTTTACAAATCTTTCTTTTCTCTCCCCTGCACACCATATCTTAAACTCAATGGGTGAGCAGGAACTCTGAAAAACACAGTTCAAGACAATACTTTTCTTTCCCCACGTTTTTACTAAGAGTTACTAAACAGCAACTTAAAAGGACAAACCATTTCCTATAGATGAAGTTCCCATTTCAATTACTTAAAAATCTTTGAATGAGTCAGCTCAGCATCCCAGGCAAACCTCTTCGTTATGCTCATGAATGTGCTATATGACTGGCAGCAGGTATTATCTGTTCATGTCTGTAAATATGCTGTTAAGAGTATATCTCTTTTGCTATGTTAAAACCTTCCCCACTACTTTCTCTCTCCTTTCTCTCATAGCTAAAACTCATCAGTCTCTTATGCTGTCAAGTTAGCATTTATCCTACTTTTCATTGACTCAAACTCTAGATCATTGATATATGCTGATTTAAAAGATGTCCTAAAAGTTTGTTCCCGTCTGATGCTTCTTTAAGCAATATGTGATATCCTTCTTTATTCTCAAGAAAATAATATGCCAGCAGATTATCAACTTACTCATGAATGTAAGTATCACAACCCTAACATTTCAGCTACAAAGATGATCCCTCGCTGGGCGCCGGCGGCTCACACCTATAATCCTAGCTACTCAGGAGGCAGAGATCAGGAAGATCACAATTCGAAGCTAGCCCTGTCAGATATTTCACAAGACCCTATCTCAAAAAGCCCTTCACAAAAACAGGGCTGGTGAAATGGCTCAAGGTGGAGGCCCTGAGTTCAAGCCCCAGTACCACCAAAAAAATAAATAAATAAATAAAATGATCCTGCGATGTAATATATATGTTGGTAAAAACACCGAATTAGAACACACTTTGAGACAGGAATAAAACATGGGGAGAGAAAAACAAAAACAAAAAACACCTGGGGACAGAGGCTAGGAATATAGCTCAGGGGTAAACCATTTGTCTAGCATGAATGAGGCCCTGGTTTCAATGCTTGATACCACTCACACATAAAAGAAACCTCGTGGGCTGGGAGCATGTAGTTCAGTAACAGAGAATGGCTTGGCAAGAGTAGAGCACTGGGTTCTAGACCCAGAACTACAAGAAAACATTAACAAAAACTTGGGAAGAAAAGTCTTTTCTGTCATCACTTGAGACACTGATTCTCCTTCCTCTGAGGTAAAGAATTACATGACTAAAAGATAAGTTCTTTAATATCTCTCTTCTTTCAATACCTAACCATACTATTTAATATTTAATTATAGCAATATTTAATATTTATTTAATAGCAACCATGCTATTAAACAGTAACTGCTTATGCATCTAACCTTTCACAGGAGGCCTGAAAAGAGATGACAGAGATGCTGAGATGTCTAATGATCTATCTTGTTACCTACTTTTGATGCCAAATTGAGAGGGCATTCGAAGTTATTTAAATATCCCATAAGACAGTGAGATACTGCCAGGCGCCAATAGCTTACACCTGTGATCCCAGCTACTTGGGAAGCTGAGATCAGGAAGACCAAGGTTCAAGACCAGCCTGGGCAAATGATTCAAGAGACTCCATCCCCAAAATAACCAGAGCAAAATGGACTGGTGGTGTGGTTCAAATGGTAGAGCATCTGCTTTGCAAGCACAAAGCCCTAAGTTCAAATCTCAGTCCCACCAAAAAAAAAAAAAAAAACCCAAAAAAGCAAAAACGACAGTAAGATCCTTAAAATGACTCAGGAAAGTATCATGCTTTGCAGTGTATAATTGATAAGTATACATGGTTTCATTCATGTAACAGGAGTATTATTTGCATATTTTGACAAAATATGGTAACTACCTCCACAATGATTAACTTGAGCTAAAGATCAATTTCCATTTCCAGCCAATTTCTTTTCATCTGTTTTCTTGTTCTTTTTTTTCCTGGGTGGTACTGGTGTTTAACTCAGGGTCTTGTGCTTGTTAACACAGAGGCCCTACCACTTGAGCCACACCTCCAGTCCTTTTCTTCTTTTTTTTTTTTTAAATGGGACTAGAGTTTGAATTCAGAACTTCATGCTTACAAAGCTGACACTCTACTGCTTGAGCTCAATCTCTGGACCAAGCAAATTTCTTTTTCTTTTTTTTTTTGGGGGGGGGGTTGGGGTGGGACTGGGGTTTGCTCCTGCAAAGCAGGTGCTCTACAGCTTGAGCCACACCTCCCTTTTCTTGTTCTTTAAGAAAAAGGCCAGGCACAGTGGCACTGTACAGTCCCAGCTACTTGGGAGGCTGAGGCAGAATAAGCACTTGAGTCCAGGAATTTGAAACCAACCTTGAAAACATAGCAAGATTCTATCTCCAAAAACCACAAAAATAATAAAAAGGAAAAACAAACCAAGGAAAAATGGAGCAATTTCTCATGGAAAGCCACTCTTGCAGTGCTAATTTTAAAATGATTTCCATTTCAAATGGGGCAAATGGAAGCCTAATACCACCCTTCAGATGTATTTAGCTCTAAAAATATTTCTTCTACTCTCTTGTAGCACTTAGAAATATAACCATTACAAGTCTGTAATTTTTCTTAAGTCCAAAAAAAAGTAAGTTTTAAGAAAGGCAAACTAAACAATCACTTATACAGATTTATTCTTTTTTTTTTAAATCCTATTATCTTACCCTCTAGAATATAGCTCAAACTTTTTGCAGTGCTAAGTTTAAGGCAATTTATAAAAATCTGCATAAGTATTGGGCCACCTAGCAGAGTCCTATACTACTGCCCATGTCATTATATGTGATTTGAGTTAATTCTCAATGTCCATTCTTTTCTTCATGTAGAACCTTGCCTGGAAGTATTCGAATGCCTGCCTACTCTTCTCTCAGTATATGTCAGATGTAGATTCACACTCAGCAACACCAGCTTTGATTTACATAGTACCCCATTACACTGAAGCCCTAAGCTGTGTTTTTTAATCTAGTAAGTTCACAAAAATAACCATTAATTAACTATAAATGTTCCTCTCTCTAGATGGGTTTTTTGGAATTAAAAAATATATTCAGGATTTTCCCAATTACATAGATGTTAGTACACACATACACAAGGGAGAAATGCCGAATAATTGGTTATTTTGCTGAAACCTGGTTACACGTGGGCTCACATACACATGTCCTTATATACATGTAGGTGCTTATGACAAGGAATGACTCACATTTTGTATATCAATGGAAAGCATTGTTTTGAACTCATTCAGGAAAAAGTTCTATCACTTTACTTTAGGCATGGTCACAAAATCTAAGACCTCACATGACTGACAAAGGCAGTAAGGGGCATGTAGTTCCATCTTCATTTGATGCTTCAATTCACTCTAGTAGCTCCACAAATGGACCCAGTGCCTCTGCTTGAACCCCTGAATGAGAAGGCTACTCAGTATCCACCCCCTCTCACAAAGCAACCAGTTTCATCTTGAAATAACTCTTACTCAGACCTTTTCACACTAAGCTCAGATCAAGTTCCCTATGGTTTCTCCACTGGGTTCCAGTTCTATTCCTCTAGACTAAATGAACAAATTCAGTGCACCTTTCAAGTTTCAGACTTTTGACGAGTTAAAGGATGTTACCAAGCTCTCTACTCCAAGCCAACAGGCCTCCTTTCCCTGTTTCTCACATGGTTCAAATATTATCATAATCCTGTTTACTTGTTTTCTGGGGGATACACTGGAGTTTAAACTCAGGGCTTTGTGCCAGGCTCTACCACTTATCCATCACTGAACTTTTGTGCTTGAGGAAATTACATACACAAGAAATATAAAAACCTAAGCTAGACAAAATACTTTGAGCCTAATTTTCACATTTGTCAAATACATATAACACATGCTAGCCAGATCACATAGTTAGTTAAAAGCATGAATTAAAATGTTTGGAAAGATAATGAAAACTAGAAGATATGAAAGTTTAAGGCCCTCTTATTAGTTCTGTAATTCTAGATTGACCAACAATGCCTTTAGATGAATTTTATGAGGAATCTAAAACATAACTATTTTAATTCCATGCAACCCAAACCCAGCTGCATTACCAGGCACCAGAAGTATGTGTAAGTTTGAGACCACACAAATATTTCATTCTCACGGCAGTTGAGGTTATAGGTTTACATTTCCAACATTTAAGAAGTGCAGTATGGTAGCACATACACTTGGGAGGCTGAGGCACGAAGATCATGAGTTTAAGGCCAGCTGGGGTTACACACCAAGTTTAAGGACAGCCTGGGCTACATAGTGAGACCCTGTCTCAAAAAGTTAAAAAAAATTAAAACTACTTAAAAAATTTAATTTAGGGGGGTGAGAGGATAAAGAAGAATGATGGAGGAAGTGAATTCAACTATGATATATTTGATATACCGTTAGAACTTCTGTAAATGCCACAATGTACACCCAGCACAATTAAAAAAAAAGGAATTTATTTACCTGTGGTTCAAAACCCATGTCAAACATTCTATCTGCTTCATCTAAAACAACATATGTCACTCTTCGAAGATTTGTCACCCGACCTAAGATGGGAAGAAAAAAAAAGACAAAAAGAAAACTAAAAATCAGCCCCATTCATTTTATGACTACCAAGAACTTTAAAAAACTGTAAAGGGAACTAAAATGCCTGACTTAACCAGAGGGGTAGGTTAGGTGTCTTTAAACAGTGAAAAGAAATTTTGATATACAATGTCTTAATCTAGAGGCAAATACTTTCTGACAATGGGTATATGAGGCCCTTTATTTTGTCAAACTCGTCTCTTGCATACCATCATAGGGCCTGAAGAACCTGTAAAATTCAGAAAACAGCCCTCTCCAAAACACATCATAAAACTAAGACTGAGATGAAGCATCGAGCCACATCAGCCATTATCTGACAGCATCACCTAGGAAAAAACATATTAGAGATTACAGCGTATGTGTGGAAAGCAAGTCCAGTGCTAACTACTTGACACGCAGAAAACTTCTCTACTACTTCTAGTCTATTTCCACATAGTTAGACACTCCGTAAGTGGGCATGTGGAACCATCACGAGAAGCTATTCAACATGATTAGGTAACTAACACATTTCACAAAAACTTGGAATACCAAATACAATACACATAAATACACTTGCCTATGTACATATACAAATCCAATTTTATTAAGTGTTCCCACCGGTTTAAATAAATGTTCCTGGCTTCTTAACCGGTGAAAACCAAATACAAACGAAGCTCTTTCTAAGGGATTAATACAAGCATTGCTATCAACTGTTGAATCAATCACCTGGCAAAAACATGTATAAAATAGTTATTAAAGATAAATCAAAAGGACAGATAAAGGAAAAAGGTAAAATTAATCAAGATGAATTTCAGAAGATTTAATCAATGCAGCATTGAGAAAAAAACCAAGGGATTATTTAATCAGCGTTCATCCCAAAACCTTTCATATGCTACACAAGCACAATGACTTATCAAACAACTTTGATGTCACTTTGTCAACTTCATGTAGAATTAGAATTGATAAGGAAATTCAAGCAGAATGCTATTAGAAACATGCATACTCAGTTTTTAACACTCTATTATGTATATCTGAATACTGCAATGAAAACCTTTGAAAGCGTTTCCTTCAAAAAAAAAAAAAAAATGAGCCAAAATAGTGCTTCCTAATACTTAAGTACTTCACACTAGCACGTGCAGCCCCAATTAGTTTTGCAAGGTTGGGAACAGCATTAAATTGACCTACCTTTGATGGTTTAAGTCTCGGAAGCCCAGTTCTATAAATCTTGAAGGGCCTTTCTCCACAGAAGTTAAATAATGTCAACAGTTTAGTAACAGTTTTGATAGGGAATAATTTAACAAAGCAAAACATTTGAGCTAAAAACATGCAATATTTACAAAAGATAAAATTTCTTGAAGCTGCAATATCTTAATTTACCTAGTATTGTAAAATACTAGCTCATGTGGTGAAAAAGTCTAAATTTTATAATAAAGACAAGATGGGGGTGGGTGATGTAGCTCAGTGGTAGAATGCTTTTACCTAGCATGCACAGGGCCCTGGGTTCAATCCCCAGCTGGGGGCGTGGGGAGGGGAAAAAAAAAAAAAGACCAGCACCCAACCCTTTGTAAAGCAAAGCTAGGCAAAAGAATGGATTAAGAATCCAACTTAAATGCTAAAAAGATTGTACAGAGTTAACTCTACAAAGAAATGTTAAATTGAATCTCAAAACAATTATTAATGCTTTTGACAATAAACTTGTCAAAGTACAAATTTTACGATATTACAGCTTTAAGAAGAAATGTAGAAACCCTCTGTTGGTTTCTTATGTCTGCTTTAACAACAACAACAACAACAAAAACCATAAAAAATGTGTAAAGTTAAAAAAAAAAAAAAAAAAAAGAACAAAAAAAAAAAAATATCCCTGACTTACCACTGTTTGCTGCTAACATGTCAATCATTCGACCAGGTGTGCAAACAATAATTTCAGCACCTCTTTTCAACTCAGCAATCTAATAAAAAAAAGATGAAATTGTATAATCCATTCATTACTAATGCTTAATCAAATTTAAAAACAGTCCATCTGGCCCATGCATGGCTCCATGCGGCAAGATAAAGTCTGACTAGAAGACTCCAAAGTCTCCTGCTTAATTCTTTGGAATGCTGGAGCCCCACTAAGGGAGCAAGTCACAGCAGTATGGCCACCTGGTACCATAAATTTGAAACCAATGAAAACAAAGAACTTTACCAATTTTAATTTGCCACTGCCCCCCAAACCAAGAAAGCAAAGTGACAGAGTAGTAAAATATGTACTTATATATAGAGATCAATGTTTTCAAATTTAGGGTCGCCACCATTAGTAAATCATGAAATCAATATTGCTAAGTCACAACCTGCATTTTCAGAATGAAACAGAGGACTGGTGGAATGGCTCAAGTGGTACAGTGCCTGCCTAGCAAGGATGAGGCCACAGTACCACCAAAAAAAAACCCAAAACACCAAATTAAGTGCCCTAGGCATGATCAACTTGTTTGACCTCTATATAAATAATATACACTTATGTATGAGGTTATTCTATAAATACATTTGTTGATGGTTACTTTGTTTAATTTTAAGAACTGATTACTTATATTGCAGTTTCTTGTTTGTCATCTGTTAATACTCATATTTAAATTTCTTCTGGAATTCCATTTTTTTGTTTGCTTTTTTCTTGTGGCATTGTGATTTGAACTCAGGGCCTCACACTTGCTAGGCAGGCGCTATATAACTTGAGCCACTCCGCCAGCCGAGGAACTCCAGGTGATCCTCTATGGCTGTCGCTCCTAATCACAGTGAATTCATCCATAACAGTGAACAGGACATATTCCAGATAGTTTCAGTCATGTATTTTGAGTCTTTTGAAAGTCTTTCAAAAATAATTCCATCATATAAAAGCAAGAGCACACAAGGGAGGGGTGAGGATAGGTAAGACACCTAAAAAACTAGCCAGCATTTGTTGCCCTTAACGCAGAGAAACTAAAGCAGATACCTTAAAGCAACTGAGGCCAATAGGAAAAGGGGAACAGGTACTAGAGAAAAGGTTAGATCAAAAAGAATTAACCTAGAAGGTAACACCCACGCACAGGAAATCAATGTGAGTCAATGCCCTGTACAGCTATCCTTATCTCAACCAGCAAAAACCCTTGTTCCTTCCTATTATTGCTTATACTCTCTCTACAACAAAATTAGAAATAAGGGCAAAATAGTTTCTGCTGGGTATTGGGGGGGGGAGAGGGAGGGAGAGGAGTGGGTGGTAAGGGAGGGGGTGGGGGCAGGGGGGAGAAATGAACCAAGCCTTGTATGCACATATGAATAAAAGAAAAATGAAAAAAAAAAAATCCATCATCACACCCTTGTCAAAAGAGCTGAAGTTGTCCTGACTCAGTTCGGACAATTACAGACATTCTTTTCTGTCACTTTTTATCTAACTCTCTTCCCTTCTCCTCCTTGTCTGAAAGAGGTCAGGGATGCTCCTCTCACTACAAAGCCAAGGTGGGCTGATGAGGTGAGCCAGGCAACATTGCTCCCACCCAGTCCTGATGGTGGAACTTCAAGCCCCAGAGGTTCCAAAGCACAGTCAAAAGGAGTGGATCACCATGCAAAAGCACACCTCACTGCCTGCTCTCTGTGTGTACTCTGAGCACTTATCTTTTGTTTTTTTAAAATTGTTATATAACTGTATTGCTTACTATGAACAAATTGGCAAAGATAAACTTGGAAAATCACCTAAGTTCAAGTATCTAAAATAGCATTTGGGTAACAAAAACAAATATTCCCAAGGTGTGTTCTTGTAACACTCATCCTAAGAAAGGGTTTTGTGTTTAAATTCAGAAAATGCCACTTACTTTATCCCATTTTTCTGGTATCACAACATACATTAGTTTGTTAAAGATTAAGAACTCTTGAAGAAAAGAAACTCACTTTTGGGGTGGGGAGAGAGGGAGAATGATGGAGGGGGTAAATCCAACTACAATATATTCTAAGTATATATGTAAACAACACAGTGTATCCATCTGTACAACTATTATATGAGAATAAGATCATAAAAAAGAAACTTACTTTAACCTTGCATAATCCAACATTTCCAGAACTTATGTGATCCTAAAAGCTATTTTTTTTTCTTTCTAGGTAAAATATCTGATTACTATCATTCTTTAGAAGACATCTGTAGAAATGCCAACTTAAAAGAGCCAAGGTTGGTTTAAATAATTCTTAAATGATTTCATTTAAGAATGCAGATGAAAACCTGATATTAATGCCTACCATTAACCACTATCCTTTAAAGATGTCAGCATGCATGAGAGACAATAAATGTTGGTCTGGGAATCAGAAGACCTAGGTCTTGGGGCAAACTCCAGCTCTTATTAACCCAACTGATCAACTGTATTCATCTTTCTGAATATTTTCCCATCTATAAAATAAAAAAGTATCTACCTTCATGGAGCAAAAGGATATGCTATGCAAAAGTGAGTCCAAAATTCTAAAATAAATGTAAAATAATACAAGTTCTCTCTCTCCCCAGGTTTAGTAAGGTATAATTTAACAAAATATAAATGCATTAGGAGGTAGGGATGTAGCTCATTCACAGAGCACTTGCCTAGCATGTACAAGGTCCTGGGTACAATCCTCAGCACCACAAAAAAAAAAAAATCAGTATGTATTTAAGGTATACATACTTTAAATACAAACTGAAATAGTTACCATAATCCAGTTAATTAATATATCATCACTATACATAATTACCAATTTTTTCTTTTGTGGTAAAGACATTTAAGATCTACTCTTACCAGATTTTTAAGTATATGAGTATTATCAACCATGCTGTGCATAGATCTCAGAACATATTCGTCCTACTTAACATTTTTTTGAGACAGGGTGTCACTATGTAGCTCGTGGTGGCCTTGAGCTTGTGACCTTTCTGCCTCAGCCACCCAAGTGCTAGAGTTTACAGGCATAAGCTACAATGCCAGCACATAATTCATTCTTGTGATTATTTTCACATTTAATATACTTTAAGATATGTGAAACATTCACTATTCAAAACATTAAAATGGAAAAAATTAGTTCTTTATTGAATCAATTTCAGAAAAGACAGAAAAAAGGAATGTTTCTTTTGTAACTACCTGTTCACTGATTCCTGTTCCTCCATAAACACAGACCACTCTAAGTCCCAAGGTCTTTGAAAACTTCTTACACTCTTTAGTAATTTGTAAAGCCAGTTCTCGAGTTGGAGTCATGATGACAGCTGAAAAGATAAATATGTCAAAAGCCTAACCACCAAGATTCTTGAGAGGCCATGCTTTAAAATGCTAAATTTAACCTCTGCAATAAAGTTCAGGTCTCAGTGAAATTTTTGTTTTTTTATGTAACTCTGAAAATTCTATTTCAAAAGCTTTGTAATGGCAGAGATTGTGATGAAAGGAACGTACATTTTTAAAAACATGCTACAAGAAAATAAATGAGAATTAAATGCCACACTCAGTCCTCAGGAAAATACTTGGTTAAGCAGAATGCAAATAGTTCTCAACAGCAAATCACAGAACAAAGAAAATCAAATGACTCACTGTGTTGCAGAAGCCATACCGCTGCTTCCGGAAACAACCCTGGTCTGAGGGCACAGAGGAGACATACACTGTGCCCTGTGTTTCCAAGAAAAGAGCTGAACAATTTTCCAAGCCCTACTCAAATTCGCAGAAGATATCTCTGCCAAAATGAATCAAGATGTGTGATTCTGAAGACCTAATCCTGAATGAAATGCTGGCACAATAGCCTTGTAAAGCCAAAACAAGCCTGGGAAAACACATTTCCCTACTAGCTTCTATATTGAGCTTGTGTATCCATTGATGCTGGGCCAAGAACAAAACCTCAACATAAATAAACAGATAGGTGCATGAGGGGTCTACCTGCCAGGTCAGAGTTTAAAAACTGAGTTGTGCCAGGAGAGGCTGTTTTTATACTTCTGAGATGTCATTCCAGAGCTCTGAAGATTCTCACTCCACCTGCTGGTAAGGGGAAATCAGCCCCAAACTGCCAAATTGATAGAGGAAATGTACATAAAGACATCTTTATAGTCATAGTAACTTTTATATAGACTATCAGGTCTTTCTGACTAACTGACAACAAAGATACCTTCAAGAATAATTTAATGAGAAGAATGGTACCTATTGGCCCCTCTCCTTCTTCTAATGACCTCTGATCCATGATGTGCCTAAACATGGGCAATAGAAAAGCAATGGTCTTTCCACTTCCTGTCTTGGCAATGCCAATCAAATCACGTCCAGACATTATGGCAGGAATCGCTTGGGTTTGGATTGGCGTAGGCTTCTCATAGCCATGCCTTAAAAAGAGAACAAAAGGAAGAAGACAAATAAGAATCACAATATATGGACTCCTCAGAGTCCCATAAAAATAAGCTTTTCTAAAATGTGTATAGCCACACAATAAAATATCATTTGACAATAAAAAGGAATGAAGTACCAAGAGATGAACCTTGAAAACACTGTCATTATCACAAGTGAAAATAAAGAAAAAATTACATATTAACTAATCCCACTTATATGAAATGTCAGTATGTCCAAACCTACAGACACAGAAGGTACATTAATGGCTGCCCACAGTATAGGAGATGGAAGAAGACTAACTACTAATGGACACAAGTTTCTTTTTGGGACTATGAAAATGTTCTAAAATTAGATGGCTGCACAAGGCCATACACGTACCATTGAATTATATACCCTAAGTAGTAAACATTATGCAAGGCCTTGGGTTGGATCCCCACCACCACAGGAAAAAAGGAGTAAGTTTTTCTGCTAGAGTAAAAATGTAGCCAAGAAAGATACTTGTATGAAAAGGCTATTTTGAGTAGGAAAGCACTGAAAAATGTGGATAATCACTTACTTTTTGAGGGAATTTAAGATCTTCATGGAAATTCCACACTGGACCCAAGATTTAATTGGTTTGGGGCAACCTTTTCCTTTAACTGTAATGCCTTCCATTTCCAATCGAAATACATTCACCTCTACAAAGCAAAACCCAAATTAAAATTCTTAAAATGTTGTTCTGCTGGTGCTTTATACCTTTCTCTTAAGCATGGTTCAGACTAAGAATCTTTAGCTTTTTTTTTTATGCTATCAAAGATAATTTCGTAGAAGAGGAAGCACCGAATATCTCAGAGAGACAGTTAAAAGCAATTACTGCTGCAATCAACTAAGGACAAAGAAACACCCCACTTTCCACACTTGATTTTCTTTTCTTAAATTGCAGTAACATAGCCAACAACTGACTGACAAGTAACACAACCACTTGTTCTCCTAGCAAGAGTTGCACAGATACCCAGGTTCCCAAATTTCAAACACCAGAAAGGGTAATATACATATCTCATGCACAACTTCATATGAAGAGTATTTTTACCCCTAAAAATATCAAGTCCATGAACTAAATTAAAATTTTTGCTCTTTTTTTAATACTTCCAAAAACATCCTCCAACTCATAGGCCCTCCACATTTCCTCCCAGGCAATGTGAAGTGTATCTTCCACTGATTCCACTATAACCCAAAATGAATAAAAGAATTTTACCCTCTTGAGACATCTTTGCTAGCTCTGGAACTTCAACATAAAAGTTTTTTCTGAATGGTTCATATTCAATTTTTCCATGATCAACTGGTTCAAGAAGTTTTCTCTGTTTTGTCTGATAGCCTGTAAGGGCCGTTTGAAGATCAACTTCTTCCTCTTCTGAAGAATACTTGAGTTTACAAAAAAAAAAAAAAAAATTCATTATTATTTTCCCCTTAGTGGAAGCAATAGTCCTATTAGACAATCTGACACTCAACGTTTCTGTGCTATTCCAGGAAACTAAAAACCTCCTAATGTCAAAATCTCCTGAAATGATGTCCGTGGCTCTTAATAGAAATACATCAGCTCCTAAAATTGTTAAACTTAATTTCTTTCTTCTTTGTCTTAAGATATAGAAACTTTAAAGACAGTTATGTCAACACAAAAACTAAAATACTTGAGATGCCATTAGTGAAATTTAGCCATAGTTCTCACTAGATGAACCTTTACAACATAAGTTAATGGGAAGAAGTTTAATTCATTGTCACATTTCTGTATCATCTCGAGCTGAGCTGATGGAGAGGGGAATGAAAAAATGGCATACCGCAAGGGATAAAAAAATGCCAGAACGCCCCACCAACCAGATATATAGCTACAAAACTACACTACCACTAAGAGAAGCAAGAATTCCTAATAATAGCTCGCATATTTGCAAGGCATATCTCCATCAATGCTTTGCAGTAAATACTTCCCCAGGAAAGTATTGTGAACAAAGTCAAAGTTAGTGAAGAATCACCTCCATGGCATCCTGGTCATTCTCCATCAGCTCACCCTTCTTCTTATCAGAATCCGCGACTGCTTTTTTAGTTGTTACAACAGTGACAACTTTTGTGACCGTTGGCCCAGACTTCTGAAATAAAAAAAGGAATATAAAATATTTTGCAAAAGTGAAACAAAAGTTAAATGCCAAATGTGACACGGTGCTAAGTTTACAATTTATATCTCAGACAAACTTAATAATTTAATCAATAAAAACACAACACCAGTCTGCTTTTCTCTTTAATTTGTATACATTTTTAAATACTACTAAATGACACTTTTCACATTAGATAAGCCTGCACTGTTCTGAGAGCTTGGATGAATGAATAAACAAATCAGATAAAGGTCACTGCCTTTGTGGTTTTGGAGCTTATTTTACAGGGAAGAGGGAAAAGCAGTAAACCCAAAAAGTATTATGTAATTTGACAAAAGATAATAAATGATATAGAACTGCCATCTCTGAGCTGAAGGGAAAGAAAAACCATTAACTTCATAAAATGCAAATAAGTAGGACAATGCAATGATAAATCCAGCAGCAATATAAATATAAGTATTAATATTATTTAATATAAATATTAAAATTCCATACCTTTTCATTCCCCCCACCACCTTTTACACTTCTCATGTTAAACTTTTTTACTTCTTCTTTTACTTCTTCCATGTAAGCATCCAATGGATCTAGCTCCTCACCCTCCATCTCATTTCCTTCCTTTTCAGCCTCTGCAGGATCATCTTCATCATCTAAAATATCAGAATATGCTTTCTTTGTGTATATGTTTCAAAAGAAAATATTCAGCACAGACCACATACCTTTCTAACATTTTCTCCCACTACCCAAACACCCTCATTACCAGTTACTTCCAGAAACTTGCAATTTTTACATCTTCAAATTAAGCATGTATTACTTTTAAATAATAATTACATAAGAAATTATGCCTATGTCCAGTGCTAGGACCTAGTTCAGTGGTAGAGCACCGTGTCTCGCTGTGTAAGGCCCAGGATATGATCTCCAATGACTCAAAGAACAAACCACCACAAACGCTCGAATATTAGATTTTATACCTAAATGATTTCTTTCAAATACCTTTCACTCACAGACAGAAAAAAAATGGCATTTTCAATCTTAAGACGATTTACTTTTCTTTATAACTAAGACATAATGGCCACTTTTTATATATAAACCATTCTTTAGAACTTTCACAGAAAATGCACCAAAATTCCATTTTCCTATAAAATTCCACAATCTTCTACTTTACTAAAATGCCCCAAAAGTCAAAATCAGAAATAGAAGGGTAATCTGGGATATAGTTCAGTGTTCTCACCAGCAAAAAAAAAAAAAAAAAAAAAAGGCAGGGGGGAATGTTTCTCTCCTAAATTATGAAAAAACAGAGGAAGAATTTTAAAAAGTATGTCCTAATTCACACACACACACACCCCTTTTTGTGGTACTGAGGTTTGAACTCAGAGCTTTGCACTTGCAAGGCAGGTGTCTTACTGCCTGAGTCATGCCTCCAGCCCTCCTTAATTTACTCTTATTACTAATGCTTACACTGGTGGTTAAAAAAAAAAAGAGCTATTTACCAAGTCCACAAGCACTTAAGTAATCGTTCACTCTAAAATAAAATCAGTGATTCTTATGGAATGCTACCACACAATTAAAATTTTAATATAAATAATGAGGCACTTAAAAATCTCAATGTGACCAGGTACACATCTATAGTCCCAGCTACTTGGGAGATTTAGGCGGGAAGAATCATTTGTTCCCTTGGAGTTCCAGGCCAGCTTCCAGGCAACAGAGACACCCCACATCCAAAAAAAACCGAAATTTTCAATATGAATCCAGCACTTATACATCTAAGCATTCAGGTACTGAATTGAAAACAGGCTGGGCACCAAAGGCTCACACCTGTAATCCTAGTTACTTAGGAGGCAGAGATCAGGAGGATCACAGTTCAAAACCAGCCTGGGCAAATAGTTCATGAGACCCTATCTCAAAAACAAAACATCAGAAAACAGGACTGATGGAGTAGTTTAAGTGGTCACAGTACCTGTCTAGCAAGCAGGTTCAAAACTCTGGTACCACCAAAAAATTAAATAAAAAATATTAATTAAAAATTAATAGAAAATATTAGCAAAAAATTAAAATATCAATTACGTATATGCACACCAATACACACAAGCAGCACTATTCACAATAAGCAGAAGGCGGGAATGACCCAAATGTCCAAGAACAGATGAATGGATAAAGAAAATGGGCATAAGTTGAGCATGGCAGCACAGCCTAGAATTCTAGCACTTGGGAGGCTGAGGCAAAAGGATTGTAAGTCCGAGGATAGACTGGCTTACATAGTGGGACCCTATCTCGAAATCAAAAGAAACAAAAAAAAAGTGGCATATATAAACAATGGAATATTGTTCAGCCATATAAAGAAAACTGACACATGCTACAATATTTACAAACAATGAATACATTACACTAACTAAGCAACAAAACCCAACACAAAAAGTCAACTAGTACATGATTCCATTTATACCAAGTACCTAAAATAGGCAAATTCATAGAGACAGAGAGTAGTACGAAGATTATAAGGGGCTGTGAGAGGCAGGCTGTGAGTTGTTCAATGAGTGGAGAATTTCTGTCTGGGACGATGAAGAATCCCTAGAAACAGATAATTGAAATGGGTGTATAACACTGTGAAACCACCTGCGTTAAATGGTTAAGATGGGGCTGGGCACAGAACTTGCTTAGCATGCACAATCCCCAGACTTTGATCATCAGCACCACAAAAAAGAAAAAAGGTTAAAATGGTAAACCCCAAACTATGTGTATTTTCCACAATAAAAAGCCCCCAAAATCCCAGTATGAAGTACTACTAATAAGTACAGAATGTTCTACAAGAACTGTTATATGCTGTTAGGCTAACAGAAAATATACCATCATCATCTTCTAAACTCCACTTTTTTCCTTGTTTCATCTCTTCAATTTCCTTTTTCAGCTCCCCTATGTTTTCCATTGCCTTTTTACGCTGCTCTTCTCGCCATTTTTCAACTCTTTCTTTTCGCTTTCTCATTTCTTCCTCCAGCTTATTCTGGTCAAAGTTCTTGGGGGAGGGAAAAAAAGAGAGAGGGGGGAAAAAAAAAGCAAAATCAACATTAGCAATTTTATTCCACATGACATTACAATGCATAAAAAAGGAAAAGGGAAAATAGGTGCAAGCACAAATTCTTAAGTGAAAGCCAGATTTAGATCACACATCTTTATATACACACATTATGTTATCAAAATGAAATCACTCCTTCAAATACCATAAATCAATCTTATTTTAGTTACAAGAATATGTACATTTGAATTAGATTTCTTCCTTATAGTAACAACTGAATTAGCAAGCACAGTTTTCCCAGTTATTCTCAATTTAAAATCTTCTAAGATAGCCTCTACAAAAAGCAATTTTCTATTACAAAATGGAGAAATCTGGGGGCATAGCTCACAAGATAGAGTGCTTGCCTAGTAAGCACAAGGCCCTAAATTCAAACTCCAGTACTGCCAAAAAACAAAAACAAAAACACTTCACATTTAGCTAGGTATAGTGGTTTTATGCCTATAATCCCACATAATCCCAGCTACTTCGGAGGCAGAAATTGGGAGGATCTCATTTTGAGGACAGCCATGGCAAAAACTTAGGGAGACCTCATCTCAACCAACAAGACAGACCAACAGCATGCCTGTCATCCCAGCTACCTGGAAGTGTAGGTAGGAGGAGCACAGCCAACACTGGCATCAGGCAAAAATGTGACACCCTACCTAAAAAATAACTAAAGCAAAAACAGAATTGGAGGTTTTGGTCCAATTGACAGAGCACCTGCCTAAGAGAAGCAAGAAGTCCTGGATTCAAGCCCCAGTTCCACTCTCCTCCCCACAAAAAAAGTTTGGCCTTTACGCTTTTAGGTCAAAGTTTTCTGGAAGTAGTCATTTTAAGCCTTCTTTCAAGTCTATTAATGCTCTCAAGAGGAGTGAATAATTCACTTTCAAAATAATAGAGATTTAGAGATAAAGTATTACAGGAATAAAAATTTTACATTATGCTACCATTATAGCTATTTATGGAAACACACATGTAAAAACACAGATGAAAAAAATACTACAGAAGTCTAAGAGTAAGGGTGTACTGGGCACCTGGAATTGCAGAAAATTATTTCAATTGTTCCAAATTCTTTGTGAAAGGCTATATTGAGTTTTAAATACAAATGTATTTCTTTAACAACAAAAAAGCCTTATTCCTCAACTTCTGTCTGCGATAATAAAACTACCCTTGCTCAAGATGAGCCCCTGAAAGTTTGCTTTTCTCAAGATCATCCAGTCATTCAACTGAAGAAACTAGTTCAGAAACCAGCAACCAAACTTCCCTTGCTCTGCTCAACAAGCAAGTTTCTTCAAAAAAAAAAAAAAAAGAAAGAAAGAAAAAGAACACAGAGCTGGGAATATGGCTCAGTGGAAAAGCACTTGCCTAGCATACACAAGGTCCTGTATTCAATCCCTAGCACTGCCAAAAATAAATAAATAAATAAATGAGGAGAGAGAGAGGGAGAGAGAGAGAGAGAGAGAGAGAGAGAGAGAGAGAGAGAGAGAGAGAGAGAGATATTAAAAAAAGAGAACACTAGCTGGGCTCAAGTGGCTCATACCTGTAATCCTAGCCACCTGGGAAGCAGAGATCAGGATCACGGGTCAAGGCCACTCCAGGCAAAAATCGAGACCCTATCTCAAAAATACCCAACTCAAAAACGGGATGGTGGAGTGGCTCAAGTATTGGAGCAGCTGCCTAAAAGTGGCTCACACCTGTAATCCTAGCTACTTGGGAGGCTGTGATCAGGAGGAGTTCAGTTGGAAGGTCAGCCTGGGCAAATAGTTGCGAGAGACTCCATCTCCAAATTACCAGGGCCAAAATGGACTGGAGATGTTGCTCAAGTGGTAGGGCACTACCTAGTCTCCCCTGGCTCTCCCCAATCCCAAAAAGTGTAGTTATAACATTCAAAAGTTGGCAAAAGATATGAATAGGCAATTCAGAGAAAAGTACAAAGTCAATAGGCTTAAGAAAACATTCTTATTGCATTATAAATTTATACCACTGAAATATTCACTCATTTAAAGTCATGTAGCTAAAAATAATTTTCAATTACTTTCTATTAGATTGACAAAATTAAATTTTGATACCCCCATGTTGGCAAGGATGTGAGGATACACATTTTCATATGTATAAATTCATAGTCTCTACAACGTTTTTGGAGGGCAATGTGATATTTACATTGTCTAATCACATCTTCTAAGTACAAACAGGTATGTATATCTATGCAACTGTTTTCAGAAAAAAAATTTCTCACAGGGACTATTTTATGCTCCTGTTTATCTTATAGATCTGTTATCATTTACTTAAAATTAAAGCATATCATTAAACAAATAACTTATTGTCACAGAAACAAGACTGGTACACAACTACTTTTTAAGTTAGTAAACATACACCAGCATCTTTTTCTTTCTCATCCTCTTTGTCATCTTTGTCTTTTTTCTTCTCTTTAGAACTTTCCCCACCTTCTGTTTTCTCTTTGGACCTAGACCTACCAAAAAACAGGGAGAAACAAAGAGACATTGGAAATACTCATTTTAAAATTCTTTCATAGATCTATATTTCACTTTTTGATTTCTTCCAGGAACCAATTGCATTTTCTTATTCCAATAATAAAAACCTTGAAAATAATGAAAAATTAATTCTACAAAACCAATGGGAACCATTATTAAATATTAAGAAATTAGGTTAAGAAAAACTGGATGTGCCATTTAAAAACAATTACAAAATTTAAATAGGAAAGTAAGAATTTAGTAAATGTAGAAATACACAAAGATCTTCATATTCCATATGATAATGTATGTATGTAAAAACATTGAAAATCACAATGGACTTGTATTTTGGTTTTACATAAAGGCTTCCTACAATGAGTGTCTTAATTTTAATGTAATAACATTAATCAATCTTCCTTCACTTCTTTATGACTAGTACTTTCTGAGTAGTTTAGAAATCATTCCAGGTTTGCTAAAGTTACTCAAGAGATGAAAAAGATATCCTACAATATAAACTTCTAAAAGATTTAGTCTTACCACATAACTTGGTCTATAATTTGCCTGGAATCGCTTTTCATGCAAACAATGAGGTAGGTGGTCTTATTTTATTGGAGACTGGCAAATGTTCCTAGTACCACTTACTTTAAAAACTTCTCCCCACTGACTGCAGTGTCACCTGTCACTTATGAAAAACTATATGTGTTGATCTATTTCTGGGCCTTTATATGGTTGCACTAATTAATTTGTCTGTCCTTACACTAATACTTAATACTATCCTAATTTTTGTAATTTTGACAAGTCTTAATAGACTTGTAGAGGAAGTCCTCCAACCTTATTCTTCAAAATATTTATGTCCCTTTACATTTCTGATTTTATGATTAGTTTACAAAATACTCTTTCATCCAGGTATGCTAGGAAACTAAGACATGAAAGTATTTTAAATTTACTAAGATATTTTTCCTGAATCTATTTAGATAATTATGGCTTTTCTCCTTCAATAACAGAATATTACACTGACTATTTTCTATGCCAAACCAACCTTCCATTCTTAAAATAAACTCAATTTATTCACAATGTTCTCTCTTTTTTCTTTTTTTTTTTTTTTTTTTGTGATACTGGGGTTTGAACTCAGGGCCTCATGCTTGCTCGACGCTCTGCCACTTCAGACACTCCGCCAGCTCCACAATGTTAACATTTATACACAGTGTTGGATGTGGCATGATAATCTTTATGTTCAGATTAAGCGTACCCTATAGTTTTCTTTTCTAATACTGCCCTTGTCAGATTTATATTAATATCTGTTATTCTCAATTTATAAAATCACTGTTCACTATAAGTACCAGTTGAACACTCCTAATCTGAAATCCAAAATCTGAACTTCTTAGTGCCCACAAGAGGACAACTTCACTCCTGACCACTACAACTGGCTGCAGTCACAACTCAGATGCCATGAAAACATCGCATAAAACTACCTTCAGACAATAAGTTTGTAAGGTGTATATGAAACAAAAATGAATTCTGGGTTCATATTTGGTTCCCACCACCACGATATCTCATTATGTGCATGCAAATAAAACAAAATACAAAAAAAGAAATCCCAAATTGAAAATCCTTCTATTCTGAAGCATTTTGGATGAGAGATTCAACCTGTATCACTTCAAACAGTGAAAAACAAAAAATTCCTATAAAACATTTTTTTACTAGTTGAAAGTTTTATTTACTTGAAATTCATTAAGAATATAAAATATTGAGTTTCTTTATAAAGAGCTACAGCTATTTACAACAGTATCACACAAATAAAGTGGCCATTATCCTGGCAAAATTCATCAGTGCAAAACACAAGGCAGCCAAAAAGCTTCAATATAAATAAATGCTACATACCAGGGCCCTAGGAAACAAGTTAGTGCTGGGTGAAGATACAGACAGATCAGTGTTACTTACAATGGGTACCTGACAGGTTCAGATACAGTGGTCATAGAATCTGGACATAAACCTACAAAAAATGTACAGGAGTTCCTAAAGGCTGAAACTCCCCCAAAAAGTAGTCAAGTTACTTAGCCAAGAGCTTGAGGATGCTTCTGACACACAATGATCTTTGGGGTAGACCCCCCAACTGATTCAGCATCGCATGTGGATGCAATCTCAGCACACAGGCACCAACCTAAACAAGCAGGAAGGATAGAGGTATCTACATGGACTCATCAGAAGTCCCTAGAGCTTTCAACCTTGATACCCAGCCCAGTGGGTCCCCAACCCTATCTCGAAAATACCCAACACAAAAAAGGGCTTGAGTGGTAGGGTACCTGCCTAGCAAGTGGAAGGGCCTGAGTTCAAACTCCACTACTACAACCCCCCCCACACACAAAACTACTGTTAGAAGCAACACAGATGAATTTCAAACAGTGTTGCGCAAAATCATGAAGAATGTGAGTCCATATACCAACTATGACTCCAGTGAAGAAACTAACCAGTAAAGAACAACTGATAAGAGAAATATAAGGAGTAAACATATTGCCAGGTACGAGTGGCTCACGCTTGTAATCCTAGCTACTTGGGAGGATCATGGTTCGAGTTTGTGAGACCCCCATCTCAACCAATAGCTGGGTGCAGTGGTGTGCCCCTGTCACCCCAGGCTACACAGGAGGCTAAAATCGGGAGGATCACAGTTCCAAGTAACTCTGGGCAGTTAGCAAGACCCCATCTCAAAGGCAAAAGTTGGGCATGATGATGCATGCCGGTCATTCCAGTGACAGCAGAAACCCTACAATAGGAGGATCATGGTCTAAATAAAAAGCAAGACCCTAACTCCAGAATAACCAAAGCAAAAAGAGCTGGAGGTGTGCCTCAGGTGGTGGAGCACCTGCCTTGAAGTGTGAAGCCCCAAATTCAAACCCCACTACCACTGCCCTGCCCCCCCCATAATAAACCTGTATTTAACAACCTGTATCCCAAAATGTTACTGGCATCTCAAAGAAATGGATACATTTAATTTAGACAAGCAAAGATCACCCATCCTAAATAGCAATTCCACAATGTATACCATAAATCTAAAAAGTTATTTGTCAACAAATGTCAGAAACACTACTAAGAAAGCAGTTTCAAATGAAGGAACATTGGAGCTTGGGGTATAGCTCAGTGGCAGAGTGTTTGCCTAACATGTATGAAGCCTTGGGTTCAATCCCCAGCACTGCCACAAATAAAACAGAACAAAACAAAACCCCTAAATTCCCACAAGGATGTCTACAAAATACATTTCTGACCATTAGTAGTACGTATTAGAGCACAATGAATACAACAAATGTTAAAGCCAATAGAATCTAGTATTTCCCAACTGCATTATAACTTCATAACCTGTTAAATTAAAATTTTGCCAACAGTCGATAGCAGGAGCCAAATTCAGTAATTATTTATAAGAAAATTTGAAGGGGAGCAGACCCAAGGGAGGGAGTCAGTTCCCAACATACACAATAGAGACAATCCAATGGTAACATTACCTATTCTCAGTTTTCTTGCTTTTATTGCCAGGACTGGAAGAGCGGGATCGCCGGCCCCGGCTTCTACTCCTTGAGCGCCTCCTGTCTCGGCTTCGAGATCTTCTTCGCTCTCGACTTCTGTCTCTCTCTCTACTTCTGGAACGCCTGGAAGAGAACATTTGTCATTTATTCTGTGGCCCAAGAGAACTGTTACTTCAGATCATGATTATGGCCTAATCATGAAGGAAATTTCTTAAAATTATTATTAAAGGCAGAGACCTCAATTAACTATCACATCAGCTAAATAAAAAACTAAAGCAATTGTTAAAAAGTACCCAATGAAAACATGAGGATAATCATTTTACAATGTTGTTTGCTGAAAAACAACAAATCTATAATAATAGATACTTAAAGTCTACAGTTCAGTGTAGAAAACCTAATTTTCAAAGATAGCCTACAGTTGAGGGAGTGTTTGCCTAGCAAGTACAAAGTCCTGGGTTTAATTCCCCAGTACCAAGGAAAAAAAAGTGTAAGCCTAAGTATAAGGATAGGAAGAATGGGACTGTGAAAAAAGACCACTGATTTGAAAATTAGGAGACAAGAATTTCTGCCCTGGATTGGTAGTAGCCTGTGAAATCACAAAGGTCAGCTCTCTGATTAAAATTTTGCAATTCTACTTTCACACCAAAAAAGTAAAAAACCAGATGTTATGTGACCAATTTCACTTAAGGAGCACTTGACTGAATTGTGTAAACTCGTCCTTGGGACCATAAATAGAAAAATGAGTAAGTCAGCACTATCAGCACTGACCTGGGTGAATACCTTCCCTGAATAATAGGTAATAAATAACCCCCCTTCTCTGCTTCCAACACCTCAATAAAAGTCAAAAACTTTTTTTTTTTGGTGTGGAGAAAATTGTTTTTAGCTAAAGACAAGTTTTCACCTCGAGAAAGGTTGGGGCTGCTGAACAAGTACCAATGACTGTGCAACAAGTAAAAGTAAAATAAATTAGTGCTCTTTAACTTAAAGCTAAGACAGCTGATTAGCTGAAAATACTGTCACTGGTCCTTCAGAGATTAATGTCTTACCTTAGGCGTTTTCTGTCCCTTGAACGAGATCTTCTTTTATCCCTGCTCCGAGACCTCTCTCTCCTTCTATCTCTATCTCTGCTTCTAGATCGCCTGTCATCTCCACGTTTGCTTCTTTTGTCTGAGGGTGAGCGACTTCTAGATCGACTTCCAGAGCGTCCTCGGGATGCTGATCGTTTCCGATAGTGGCTAGAATAGTATTAATACAAAGATTAAACTTAGTGTGATGGTTAATCGTGGTTATCTGGATTGAGAATCACATAGGAGATTAGTAAAGCACATTTCTGAGTAAGGGATCTGACCTAAATTAAACCCTTAATGGATTCACAGTATGATGGCATCTCTGCAAGTGGTGAAAAGCAGGAGTTGGGCCCAGTTGGAGGAAAGGTCACCAAAGACATTTCTTTGGGGTCTGTATTTTTCCTGGTCCCTTCCTGCACCCCCTCTCTGTTTCCTGGTTGCCACGAAGTGACCTCCTCTGCTCTGCCACTTCCTCCCCCAGAATAATACAGTGACACCTCTGAAGCTGTGAGCTAAAATAAATCTATCTTCTTTTAGGTTGTTTCTGTCAGTTATTTTGGTCACAGCAATAAAAAGATAACTAATACACTTAGCAAACACAGCTTTTTTTTTTTTTTCCAAAAAAACCTCAGCAGACAAACTGAACACAAATGGTGTCATATAAACTCTGAAAATTGGGAGGAAAAGAATGAACCCCTTTGCTGGAGCACATATTGAGGGGAACTATCAGGAAAGGGAAGCAACCACAGTGAACAAAACAGACCAAGTTCACTGAGATCCTCCTGTTTTATAACAGATGTGCACCACCATGCCCAGCTTTTTTCCACTGAGATGAAGTCTTGCTAACTTTTTGCCTGCGCTGGCCTCAAACTTATATCCTTCCAATCTCAACCTCCCAAATAGCTAGAACTACTGGTGGGAGCCGCCAGAACCCTTCATGATTCTTTTCAATGTATTATTCTAGCTGCTAAGTGAAGAACACATCAAAAAAGGAGGCAAGGGTAGAAGGAGAGAAAAGTTAGGATGCTACAGCAATCATCCAGATAAGAGAAAGTGAAGGTTTAGGTCAGAATGGCAGGTGTAGAGATATTGAGAAGTGTTAAATCTGGAAGTGGGGGGTGGGGAAAGCTAGCATCGATTGGATTTCAGGATGAATTACATGTAAGTATGACAGCAAGAGACAAGTCCTGGGTGTCTCCAAGATATGCCACCAGCGCAAGTAGAAAAACAAAGTTGCACTTGGGGAGTAGCTTGGTGGTAGAACACCTGCTCACTGTCCTTGGGTTCAATACCCAGCAATAATAACAAGGTTGCCATTTACTAAAAAGAGAAGGTTGAAGGAGGGGTAGATTTAAGGTGGAGGTGGGAAGGGAAATCAGAGTATTAAATATCCAAGTGGAGACTCCGACTTGGAGTAGGTAGTTGAAATATGAGTGTGGAGTTGAAGAAAAGAGATTTGGTCTAGAAATATATACTGGGGATCCATCAGTGTACACAGGCTACTTAAAGCCATAAACCTGTATAAGACCACTGGAGAATAAGTACAACCAATTATCCTTCAAGCACCTCAAGTTCAACATGTAGAAACCCAACTTGTGAACCTTCCCTCCCCAAACTATTTATCATTAGGCTTAATCCAGTTATCTCCAGCATTTTTCTTTTTCTCATTCTACACAACCAATAAAACACCAAGTATACCAATTTCACCTCTGAAATTCTCTTTCACATTATATCACCTCCTCAGAGTTCCCACCATTCACGGCAGATCTATGTAGCTGGGACACTTTTTAAGACTCCTGGTCTTTACTAGTTGAGATAAGGATAGCTATACAGGGAGTTGACTCACATTGATTTCCTGTGCATGTGTGTTACCTTCTAAGTTAATTCTTCTTGAACTAACCTTTTCTCTAGCTCCAGGTCCCCTTCTATTGGACTCAGTTGCTTTAAAGTATCTTGGTCCTTCCTATTATTGCTTATACTCTCTCTTCAACAAAATTAGAGATAAGGGCAAAATAGTTTCTGTCGGGTAGTGAGGAGTAAGGGAGGGGGCAGGGGGAAGGGGGGAGAAATGACCCAAATATTGTATGCACTTATGAATAAAATAAAAATTAAAAAAAAAAAAGACTCCTGGTCTTTCTGTTTCTATTTCTTTATCCCTTCTAAAAGTTTTACTGCTGTTAGGGTAATCTTCCTGAAGTAGAATTCTGGTCCTATTACCATATTTTTTTATTCAAAATCTTCAAGAGCTCACAAAGAAATTCATAACTTCAAAGTTAATCAACAGTCTGTTCACTTTCTGGGCCTTTTCAGAACTAATCCTTCTGCTTCTCTTCAGTTCTTCATGAAATTTACAAACTGGGTTCTTTACCTATTTCTCTAATACCATGCTCTTCCCCCAACTCTGCACCTTTCATTATTCCCAGAACAAGCCTAGAGCACAGGCCAAGATGGCAGAAAGATGGCAAAAGGTTAAAAGGCTGTAATGGACTTTTTTTTTTTGGGGGGGGGCAGCACTAGGGTTTGAACTCAGGGCCTCACACCTGGGCTCTTACTTCTTGAGCCACTCCACCAGCCCTTTTATATGTTGGATTTTTTGAAGAGAGGGTCTTGTGAACTATTTGCCCCAGGCTGGCTTTGAACCAACATCCTCTTGATCTCTGCCTCCTGGGCAGCACAGGCCACTGGTGCAGGGCCTGGAATGGACCATCTTGTGGAGGGTTTCGAAGACTTCCAGAAGAGTCTGAATTTCATCTTGGAAGCCACAGGAACCAATGGAGACTAAAGTCAGGAGAATGACAAAATCTCACCTGTATTTCAGAAGTGTCTCTCTAACTGCAGTATGAGCGGTCTAGTGATTAGCAAGATAAAAGGAAGATAATCAATGTCAAAAGGGTGTAAGAGTCTGGGCAATGAGTGATCGGGGGCTTCAACTGAGTCAGGGAGGGCAGGAATCTAACTAGAAGTAGGCAGTGAAAGAGAATAAATATCACTTCCAGATTTCTGGTCTGGGGTAGCCAGCTGAATGGGGGAAGATTTAAAAGAGAGTCACAGAAAATATCTGTAGTTAAGGTAATATTCCTCTTTATCCAGGCGATGGCTACATGATTTATATATTTGCTAAATTTCGCTAGATCTATCTACTCTTACAACGTGTCCATTTCCCTGAACGCTAGTTACACCTCAATAAAATACTGGTAGCATTAAAAACAGAGGAAAATCTTCGCTGTGCCTGGACACTGTCTCAAGCACCTTCTAGATACTGCTAACTACATACCAAATAGTCATCTTTAAGACAAAAATCTCAAGGTCCCGAGCTATTAACAATCTATAAAGTTTTGAAGAAGTCATATAGTTCCAATAAGGTCTCACCAAGTGCACGGTTTCAAAAAGACAGAAAGCAGATAACAGAAGAAATACGAAATCTATTTGCTAAGTACGTCTGCGCAACAAGTATTTCTTGAAGCCCAATAAAAGCGAGTGCTGTAAAGTGCGGGAAAAAAATGCGCACATGCTCTTTTCAACCAACTTGGGGAAGGACCACACGAGCACAAAGAATTGACGCAAAGAGAGCGGGGCGCCGAGAAAAGCTGCAAACGCCAAGAGGTAAGGAAGTCCCACCGGCTCGCTACTGCCGCCAGGTGACCAGGGAGGGCTCCCTGGAGGTGGCGGCCTGCGGTGCCAGATCTCTAACGTCCTGGAGGGCTGCTCCCACCGCAGGGGGCTCCAGCCGGCTGATGCCAGTCCAGGGGACGCCTGAGCCCTCCCCGCAGCCGAGGTCCCCAGGTGCTCCCGCAGGCTCCAAGCAGAGAGGGCCACACGTGTGGCTGCCCCAGGCCTCCCCCGGCCGCCGCTCGGCTCCCGCCTCTTGTCCCGATCCCAGAATGCCCCCTCGGCACAGACTCACCGCGACTCCCGGCCCATGCTACCGGCTGCAGGAAAGTGGCACCCGATGGGACGACGCGCGGGTCAACGGGACAAAGAAGGATGAGGCCACGCTATCCCAGGAGCGCCCAGCAAGGACCAACCTTAAGAAGCAGCCGCAGCTACAGCTGAGGCCGCCATTCCAGCGCGACCAACGAAAACCGGATGTGCTGGCGCGGGCCTTAGAAGGAAAGAGCCTGCCGGAAGTAGTCACCTCGCCACAGCGCCACCTGTCGGCGGGAGGGCGCGCAGCATAGCTGCACAGAAATAGGGCGGGCTGGCCGGGTTTGCCCTGCACAAGGCGCCAGGGCTGGGTTGTGCAAGGGAGAGCAGAGCCTCAGCCTGGTTCATCCTCAACCTGTTAGTTCTCAACACCGCCCGCACTGGGAAGCCTTAGAAAAAAAAAATGGATGATCTGATTGAATTTATCTAGAGAGCTCTTGCGGCACTGGGAATTTTTAAACCTCCCAGGTGAAAAATACAGTCAAGATTGAGAAGGGTTTAGAGCAACACCCACTACAATGTGGTTCTTGAAGAAAGCTGTAATGGAGTAAGGAAAGGCTGTTTTTTGTACTATTTTGCTGGTGATAGAAATGTTATCTTGATTGTGTCAATTGTCTGATTGTATACATTGATGAAAATTCAGTGACCTAGGCCAGAGATGACAGATCACACCTGTAATCTCAGCTACTCAGGAGGCAAAAATTGGGAGGATTATGGTTGTAGGACAGCCCCAGAAATAGCAGAAATCCCTCTCAACAAACAAGGCAGGTGTGGTGGCACATGCTGGTTATTCCACGCTACAGGCGACATAGGTGGGAGAATCATTGTCTAAGCCTGGTAGCTGGGGGTAAGGAAAGAAGAAAGATGACTCCCCGGTTTTGAAGAGAGCTAAAAGCACTGTTGGGGGTTATGGCAAATGTGTGGAGATAAGAAAGACATGGGAACACCAGATTTGGGAAAGCAAAGAAAATTGGGGATTCTGTTTCAGTCGTATGATGTTCAGACCTCCAAGAGACAACAGCTACATATGAATAGTGGGGGAAAAATAGGTTGCTCACATTTTGTGGAATGTGTAATACATGGTGTTTGCTGTCTTGGAACCAAGTGAGGCCATACAGAAGTGACTGAGAATTATGATGCCTTACTTTTAAAATTAACACAACTTGAATACTGCTTAGAATTACAGAGTTAATGTTGCAGCTGGAAGAGTTTTTTTAAATCATGCAGATGCTACCAGAAGAGTGAAAACTGAGGCTCAGGAACACATTCAGTGTTCCCTCACCAGTTGTGGTGAATACAAGCTATAACCAGAATCCAGGCAGCTGAAGCCTAGGCCAGAGCTCTTTTTAAAGATGTTTTATTTCTAACTTCCCTTTAAGAGAACCCATAAAAGACAATTCTGACTGGAGCAATTATTGCTCATCTCAGTTCTGAACACCTTATAACCCTTCAGCTAAGTTTTTTGTGGTTTTTTTGTTTCCTTGCTTGTTTGTTTTGTGCTGCTGGGTATGGAACCCAGGGCCTTATGCAAGCTAGGCAAGTGCTCTACTACACACCCAACCTGTTACTATTTTTAACAACAGTGATACATATATGTCCATTTACACAATTAAAAAAGACTGGGTGTCATGGTTCCAGGAATCTCTATAAACCCTCTTTGTCAGACTAGTTTTAACCTATACACATTTTAAAACCCTGAAACAGTAAGAAACCTCCATTACCATTTCATTTTAGTCAACAACACGAAAGGCGATGCTGATCAGTTAGAAAATGGGGCATTGAGGGACACAGATATAGGTTGTTTCTTTAACAGATAAACTTAGTAATGATCTGTAATTACTCCAACTTTGCATTGTCAACTGGTTAAAAGAGGCTTGTTTTTTATTTATTTGTTTGTTTGTTTTGGGCAATACTAGGGATTGAACTCAGGGCCTCAAGCTTGCTAGCTAGGCAGATACTCTACCACCTGAGCCACACCTGCAGCCTCCTTCCTTCTGTCCTTTTTTTTAAAAAAAGGGGGGAAAAAAAAGTAGTAAACAGGCACTTCAAGACCACTAGTGTCTTCCCAGGAATTAAGGAAGGAAGTGACAACGCTCAAGATACTTCAGAGTTCTCTAGACATTAGATTCATTACAAAATCAGGAAATGTGTGTGCTTGTGACCTTAATCCCAAATCAAAATAATGGACTTAAATTATTATGCTTATTCTTCATTACTCTGTTCAAAATAAAATGATAAAGGCCAAGACTTAGTGAGTAGCTTAAAAAATAAAAAAAGTGTTTTTAATATCACAAAGATTAACCAAACAGACCATATAAAAATCTGTATATAACTTGAGTTTTATATTGCTTTAGGATAATAAGATAATCCTTCTGAATGTCACACTGTTACTAAAGTATTTAAAAGGATATTTATGCTATACATCACATGCCTTCATTATTCAGGCCCCATTTTTAATCATTCTCAGCTTGCTTTAAAAACATACTTCTGGGGCTGGCTACCATGTATATGGTTGTAGCTCAGTGGGAGAGAGCTTCTCTAGAATATACAAGGACTTGGGTTCGAATCCCAACACAGCAAAAAAATCAAACAACCATCATGAAATACCTCATACTTGTTTATATATCTTTTTCTTTTTTTGGCAATACTGGGGTTTTAACTCAGGGCTTTGCACTTGCTAGGCAGGTGTTCTACTACTTGAGCCACACCCCTGCCCAATACCTCATACTTGTGGTAAGTGAAAACTCACAAGAGAATATTTCTGAGTGTAATATACAGCAAGTAAAAATCTTACAAATACCTTCTCATTTCACATGTATTATTTTGTTTCTGGAATGCTGGAGTCAACACAGGGACTCACCCATGCTAGGCAAGCACTCTATCATTGAGCTATACAACCGGCTCATGTGTATGAATCTTAATCATTTCTCCCATTAAATATTTGTACTGGAGTAAAAAGACACTAACTCAACAAGAAGAGATAAAACTAGCCACCTCACTCAGCCCTCACATTAAACTGTGCAGACTCAACACTAGACGATTCAAATGCTTTCATTTTATTTTTAGGATGGTTTCATTTCTCAGGACAGAATGACATAAATACAAGAAGAATCCTGAGGGCTGGCTGAGACCATGTTCATCTGCAACCTTAAAATCCCTAGCTCAGCCCCCAAAAGAGGAATCACAAATCTGAGAAGTTAGGGGGAATGGGAAATCTAATTAAACGAGAAAAATCAGTAAAGACATTGTTACCCTATTTTTCCTACCAGGACAAATACAAACTCAACCCTTTTAAATCAGGGAATCTGTCATTCCATTCCTAATGTGTTTTTTTCACCCCTGTTAAGTAAAAGAATTACATAAAGGTGTAAACCAATTTGCCTCCTTTAGAAACACTGCAATATGGAATATGTTTTTTACTTTGTAAGTTTTTTCTACTGAGTTCTGCAGGTTTATGGTACTTCAGATCCCCAATAATCAATTAGTTCATGACAAAAGATGAAAGTGAAGAAGTAAACGCAGAGATCTGTGAAAACTTCGCCCATCTTGCTGTAAGTATCCATTGATCGATTGATCACTTCAGCAGGAATTCCAGACAGTAGAAGTGCAGCTGTCAGCACTGTTGTCTTGATCTTCTTTTCACTCTGTACAGAGAAGTCAAATTAATATTACGGTTTTCAGCAGACTACATAAATTCTATTAAAAACAGTATCAACACTGGTTTTCAGAACTGTTTTCAAAACTATTAGTGAGGTTTCAAAACAATAAAATTAACATTTATTGAGCATATAAATCAGCAGACTGCTAGGCCATCACAGACAACATTCTATCAAAGGTTTTAAAAAAGTGTTTTTTGGAAGCAAGATATAAATAACAAGAGGCAGATAACAGCACAAGACAAAAACCAGGAAAAATAGTACTAGTCAGGGCATTTACTGCTAAATGAACGGCATGGACAATGTGTAGCACAGAGACTCAAAGAAGATTGCTCTATTGTCTTATGTAAATAAAGCAGAAGAAAGGATCTAGGACTGTAGCTCAGTGTTAGAGCACTTGCCTAGCATATACAAGGCCCAGGATCAGATCCCCCACACCACTCCTCACACACACACAGTATATAAGGAAGGATTGCAGAAGACAGAGAACACGCCTTGAAGGATAAGCAGAATTTAGAATGGCAGAGGGAGAGGAGCTATGTTATCATAAGCTAAGATTTATGACAACAAAAGTCAGTGACAGAAGAGTGCTAGGTGTATTGAAGATGAGTGGCTAATTTCAAACAGAATCCACAAGACATCATGTAGAGTCTGAGTGCTTTATGAAGAAAAAATCCCACTGATTACTCACTAACTAGGAAGCCACTGAACAGTTTAGAATACGTGGTGGGGAAAGAACATTTATTTTCTATTATGATTTTCTACTTTCATATTTTTAAGAGATTCAAAGCTAACTCATGGTAACTTTTTAATAACTTAAAAAATATAAACAGCTTGCTGGGTACCAGTGGCTCACATCTGTAATCGTAGCTACTCAGGAAGCAGACATCAGGAGGATCATGGTTTAAAGCCAGCCCAAGCAAATACTTCCCAAGACCCTAGATCAAAAAACCCATCACAAAAAAGGGCTGGTGGAGTGCCTCAAGGTGTAGGCCCAGTACAGCAAAAAAAAAAATTATATATATATACATATATAACAGCTATAGTTAACCAAGAGAAAGAAAAGTCTATGTCCTCAAAATGACTCACATAAGCCAGGTATCAGTGGCTCATGCCTATAATCCTAACTACTTGAGAAGCTGAGATCAGGAGGATCCCAGGCCAGGCAAAGTTTTCAAGACCCCTTCTCAACTAATAGTTGGGCACAGTGGTGCATGCCTGATATCCCTGTGACAGCAGGAAGCATAAAATAGGAGGATCGTGGCCCAAGCTGGCCTGGGCAAAAAGCGACACCTTATCTCCAAAATAACCAGAGCAAAAGGGGCTGGAAGTGTGGCTCAGGTGGTAGAGAACCTACCAAGCAAGTACAAAGCCCTGAGTTCAAACCCCAGTTCCACAAAAAAAGGTTTGTGTAAGAAGCATATTAACGCCAAAAAGCAAACAACCAAGATGTCCATCAACAGATTACATAATCAGATGGATGTACTTGTACCATGGACTATTACTCAGCAAAAAGGGGGAAATGCATTACAGATCCACTCAACAACATGGATGAATCTCAAAACTATCATGTGCAATGCAAGAAGACTTGTTCAAAAGAGTGCAGGGCTGAGGTGTGGCTCAGAGGGAGGATGCCTGCTTAGCATGGACAAGGCCCTGGGTCCAATCCTCAGTACCTAAATAAGTAAGTAAAACAGGAAAGATAACATTTATAGGAATTACTGAAATAGAGAAAACTAATCTATGGCAGGAAAAAGAAAATTAGACCTTGGGTGAGGGGGGGTAGGGGAGGGTAGGAGCTAGGACTGCTGGGAAAGGCACAGGACCAAATGTCCTGGGGTGATACAAATATGGTCTAAACCTTTAAAGGATTTGGGTTTCATGGGTTGTGGGAACTTAATGAGGGCTGGGGATGTAGCTCAGTGGTAGAGCACCTGCCCAGCATGTAGGAGGCCCTAGATTCAATCTCCAGCACCACAAACAAAACAAAACAAAAGCTTAGCAAATAATACACTTGAAACTTCAGTGTTTGCCTAAAGAACAATTGAAATGACAAGAGCAATAAAACACTGACTGGCAGCTACTGTTCTGCAGTAGGTGAGATACACTGGATGGACACACTTTCAAATGCATCAAGAAAGTGAGGTGATTGAAAACAGATAGAAAATCAGATGCTTGATGAATATAATGAGATGCTAACTGTAGTATCTAGGTATAAACAGGTGCTCGCTGCACAATTCTCTCATTTCTGTGTTTAAAAACTACCGTAACAAAAATTTTCTTTTTTTTTTTGAGGCAGGGTCCTGCCATATAACCTAGACTGGCCTTGAACTCACCATCCTCCTACCACAACTGCCCCAGGGCTGGGATGACCAGTATGACTTAGGATATATGGCTCAACAGAATGCTTTGTTCAAAGTGTACAGTAAATCCTCCCTCACTATTAACCACCGTTAAGTTTCTTCCAGAGCTTCTTCATCGTTTAAGCAACATCAAATATATTTTCCTCCTTTTCACAAAAAAGGAGCATACTATAGATGCTGTTCTGCATTTTACCTTCTTTTAACAGTTCATGGACAGGTTACAATTACCAGTGCATGGAGAGCTTCTTCATTCTGAATGGATATGCCACATTTTTTTTTCTAATCTAATCACTTATTAGGGATATTTAGGTTGTTCTCAAGCTTTTGCTATTGCAAAACTATAAACAATGTTTCAAGAGTGAGTTTCTAAACAAATACTTTAATTAAAGCATTACATTTCTTTCTCTTTTACTTTGTGTATTTTACCAATTTGACCCTTCAAAAACATAAATGTTCTAATCTTTTAAAATCACACAGGTCTGTCAGCTCATTATAAATGACTAAGCAGGATGGGGGATGCAGTGCAGTGGTAGAGCATTTGCCTAGGACAAACTAGGCCTTGGGTTCAATGCCCAGCTTGGAGGGGGGGTGGTGACTGTTTTGTTCAGAAAACAGCCAAGTAGTCATTTCTTAGTAACCACATGCACAAAACTCCATCATATGTCAGATATGATAGCATACTCCTGTAATCACAGCACTCTGGAGGTTAAGGTAGGAGGAGAGTTGACATCCACTCTATTCTAGGCTATATAGCAAGACTCAGTCACACAATAAAGGTTATCATTTTTTTTAAACGGGGGTTTCACTATGTAGCCCAGGCTGGCTTTGAACTTGTGATCCTTCTACTTCTGCCACCTGGAGGAATTATACCTCACCTGGCCAACAAGTTAAGGTTATCTTCAGCATCAGGCAAGTCAAGCCCTACAGAAGGTATACACATCTGCAGTTAAGCTGACCAGGTAAACACTTCTCTCACCATCATTCTGTTCTGTAACTTATGACAGATATTTTTTGTCTTCAACATTAAAGATAAAGTAGATTGCTATTCTTTGTCCATTAAGGGGCACAGTAAGATAATGAAACCTATTTTAAATATTAATTTCTTTTGTTGGGTGCTGGTGGCTCATGCCTATAATCCTAGCTACTTGGAAGGCAAAGATCAGGAGGATTGTGGTTTGAGACCAGCTGGGCAAATAGTTCATGAGACCCCATCTCCAAAATAACCAGAGCAAAATGGACTGGAGGTATGGTTCAAGTGGTGAAGCACCTACTTTACAAGTGCAAAACCCTGAGTTTAAACCCCAGACCCATCAAAAATAAATAAATAAATAATTTCTTTTGTTATAAATAAAATGAATTATTAAATTTACTAAGTAATTAAGCAAATAATTTTTAGATGAATATTATTGAAACCCTATCATGAAGGACCAATTTTCTCCCAACCTACACAGACCAAAATTTTTGTAAAATATAATTAATGTGTTCTGGCAATGACGTATTGCTAGGAAAGTTTCTAATCACTTTTTGAACTTAATGCATCGTGCACAGACAAAATTGGAAGACCAGCCCTGGCAGATGAAACACATTTTGAGTTGCACTGACTCAGACCATAAGTAGAACTAGTTTTTTTAAGTCCTTAAAATTAGCTAAATATACTAAAATTTAGAATATACCATAATTTAGAAAATATACCATAATTCAGAAAATTTAAATATACATAATTTAAATATACCATAATTTAGAAAGAAGTTCATTTACCTTGGGAAAATATTTGTACAGTCCCATGTAGGCAAGTTGCAAAGTAAGAAACGGAGCAAAAATGGACTGTGAAGACAGAAGGTAAAAGTGAGCATTTTCAACAGAAGCATTCAAGTCACAATAAATCAAACCAACAGCAGCTATATAAACCTAATTTTAACTATGAAATTCCAAGCAAGACACTGTAGTAAAATAATGAATTAAGTAGCTGAAAGTAATCTTGTTTTTACAGAAGAAAATGAAGAGATTTAAGTTCCTAGCAAAAAACATGGTTCTCAAGTCAACAATTCTTTCAGTGTCTCCCAAAATGTTTCCTCCATAAAATCTTTTTTTTTTGCACAGGGTCCTGCTATGTAGCCCAGGCTGGCCTCAAACTGGTGCTCCTCCTGCATCTGCCTTCACTTCCTGAGTGCTGGGATTACAGATGTGCACTACCACATCTTTGAAATTATTTAGAGTATTAAATGGTGAAAGATGTACAATGCATCATGCAACAATATCTCCCTCACCCAGACAGAGTTAACTGATAACCTGAAACCCTTATAAAAGGCCCAGCACTCACCCATCCCTCAGAGTTCGGGGCAAAGAGTTAATCACACAGCTACCATCTCAAATGACAAGCTATTCTTACTGCAGATAAAATGGCTTGGCAATCTGGCTTCTCAGACAGAATGAAAAAGATCAAAACGACATTTAACTTAAAACACTCCTAAAATTAAAAAGATTAGAGGGATCAAAGGAGGCAACATCCCCAAGTGGCAGCAAGGAGAAATAAACAGGTGAAATCTGACAGTGAAGAAAACCAGAGAACAAAAACAACAAATGCCTCATGGAAAACTAAGGCACAAAATTGAAACACAGCTCAAAAAATGAAAGCACACAGTTCTTCAGATGAGAGAGAAAAAAGCAGCTACCAGATCATCAGGTGCTAAAAGCATAACTGATCTTTGTTAAGCTGACAACTTATCACCCATGGGGAAAAAAGTCAAATTTGATGAATAGATTCTAAAAAGATATGTAAGCTGGGCAGTGGTGACTCATACCTGTAATCCTAGCTACTTGAGAGGCTGAGGTCAGGAGGATCATGGTTGGAGGCCAGCCCAGGCAAATAATTCATGAGACTACATCTCAAAAAAACTAACCAGAACAAAATGGACTGGAGGTATAGCTCAAGCAGTAGAGTGCCTGCTTTTGCAAGCACTAAGCCTTCAGTTTAAACCCCAGGACCACAAACACACACAAAAAGAAAATATGTGCATAAAAGGAGATTTTAAAAAACTGTTTTGCTTAATGATAGAAATCTTAATTATCTGGAAAATTTTATTTCTGTGCTTGATGCATGGTAGGTATTTTTTAAATATCTACTGAATGGAAATACTTCAAAGAGAAAGACAGTGAAGTACAGGCTTTGCTCTTCTGCATTCTTCCACATGCTGGAGTACAGGACCCCATCATAGGAAACAAATGGACTATCGTAATGAGGCTACTACGTTACACAACACTGAAATACCTTTTGAATCATAAAAAAGTTACTTATCCTCAGGACTACAGACATTGCATTTTAATGTTTCAAACTATTTGAAAATAATTAACATATAGTATATATAAACACTTATTTGGTTCTGGAATGAAACTGCCTAGCTTTCATCCCAGCTGTCACTCAGTTGCTGGGTAACATTGAACAAATGATTTAACCTCTTTTGAGTCTTCATTCCCTCATGAGTTCAAACAACATCTACTTCGTAAGAATGAGAGTTAGATGAATAAGCATTTAGAACTGAACCTGGCACGTAGAAAGACTTCAGTAATTATTATTAATAGCCTCTCATTCTGTAACTCAGATGAATAACAAAGCTTACAATACACCTGTAAATAGCCCCATAGATCTGGTAGATAGTAACTTAATATTGGCAGTGAATTCTGTGGATTATAAGTACCTGTTGTTATAACCAAGTTATTTTCTAAGTTAATGAATATTTTACAGCTCTTTTCTTACCAAATATTTGCAAACAAAAGCTCTGACACCAAGAGCAAGAAGAGCACATCCCACTAGTCTAAATATTCGAAAAGAGTCAAATTCTTCTGTGGTACTTCCATCATCTTGGCTGGGTTTTTCGCTTATCAGTTGTTTCCGTAGCTTCATTGCCTCTTCAAATCTGGAAAGGTACTGTTCTAGGCCATGGTGAGAACCCCTCTGGACAGTGTCGGCTGACAGGTCCCCTCTGTTCCGCTGCCGGAGCTCAAAATTGATGTCACTACTGCACTCTGATGGGTTAATGAACGAGTCCAATTTGTCTCCTAGCTGGGAACCCTTAACTTCCAGCACACCACCCTGCTGATCAGTTCCTGTACTGAGAGAGTCACCCAGCACTACTCGCTTTGAAACTGAAGGAACACCAAGGGAGTTCAGTTTGTCACTGTCCTGCTGCTTTGATTTTGCTTGACTTTCTTCATCTGAGGAAAAAAAGAAAATTTAAAGACTGCACATTACATACCAAAAAACATAAATTAATATTAAAAATATGATCCTACAGCTAGAACTCAGCTGTCTGCAAGAATCGTAATGCTGATTCTGCATAAAACAAAAAACTAGTCTGTTCCTCCATACCCTCAAAATATAGCATCCCAAAAGAGTGTTCTGGCAGAAGGAAAGACATTAAAGGATGGGCAATCAAGAAAGACTAACTTTTCCTGGATGATTCCACTAAAAATATAAAGTCATTCAAGCTTTTTAAAAACCTGTATTTTAAAACTTACATTTCCACACCCAGAACCCTATGAGCATAGGGCGTGGCATGGCTACACTTACTGTTTACCTAGTCAGGCAGCCATTAGTAGGCACTTACTGCAGTTTTAGAATGCTGTCCTGCTTTTAAAAAACAAACCTTTAAGGATAGATAAAATGTTCAAAACAAAAGACTGAAATATAGTACTTCGAGAAAGAAAATAAGCAATACTTTGGGAAATAATAAGTGTACTGATATTAATCATTAAAGAGAAAAATGTTTCTTCTATTGTTTTAGAAGAATTTGAAAATGATTTTCTTCCATCTGGTTTGAACTATCTAGAAGTTCAGAGTTAACAATTGAGGCCGCACAGAAGTCACAAAGGATCTAAATCACTTGCAACCAGTGACTAAGGCCAATCACTAAAGGAAACCTAGAGCACACCAGGTGTTCAATTATATCATATGAAAAATTTTATGGGATGAAAAATGAGGACTTTCCTTTAGGTTAAATGCAGATCCCCAAATGAATACCAGTAATCTGTGCTAATTAGGAGAAGAAACCTCAGGCTGGGACAAGACACTTGTAGGGACCATAAAGAATGCTCACTCATATGGACCTTTTCCACCTCTTCTAGAAGATCCATGGTGACAGTGTTGGGGACCCCGGGGACAGCCACCAAGGCATGACGACCAGGATCCTTAACTCCCATAGGAGCAGTGAGGGGGCGGACAAGAGTCATACAACACAAGAAAAAGAAGGTAGACGCCCTGTCGGGGACTGGAACTCACGAACAGGGGACGATCTACCCGAGGGACGCAGGGGGAAAAAAACGTGCACCCCTGCAGAAAGGCGAGGGAGTGGGAAAGGAGGAGAGGACGGCGACAATCTCAGGGCGAAGCTCCCGGAATACAGGGGGAAGCCACCAGGACCCACCTGGGGTCAAGGAGTGGGGACATGGGGCATCCCTAGGGGCGGGGAGGTGGGGACAGAGCGAGGTCAGGGAACGGGGCCGGGTCAAAAGGTCAGCGGACTGTAGCGGGAAGAACAATCTTGATCATTCAAGGGTCGTGCAGGGAAACTGAGGCTCTCACCCGCGCCGCTCCCGGGCCTGTGGAAGCCCATGATCCGGTTGATGCGCTGCTCCGAGTTCATAAGCAGCTTTCTCCGCCGCAGCTCGGCCCGACGCTGCGAGGCCGACAAGCTCGAGCCCACCGGGGCCCCCGGCCTGTCCCCGCCGTCGGTAGGCACAGTCACCGGTTCCATCTTTCCCTCCACAGTGCGGGAAGAGTGGCGGCGGCGGCTGTGGTGGTGGTGGCGCCAATGACTCAAGGCCTGGCCACAGGGATTGCGTCCCCCGCCCACGGTAGACCCACCCCCAAGCGCGGTGCCGAGACTGCGGAGTGACCACGCGCGCGACGCTGTCAGGAACCGCGCGAGGCTCTGTCCGCCATCTTGGGTAAGGGCATTAGGGGGCTACCGAGTCCCTCTCCGCCTTGGTTTCGCCTCACCACTCCCCTGATTCGGGTTCCTTCTGCCGTTCTCTCGGAGGTGAAGAGAACCGGAATCCGGTTCTCTAACGGGCAGGAAAGGGATGCCCGTGAACGGCAGGTCCATCTAGTCTGGTGCCAGGAAGCAAAATGGAGATTGCAGCGCCAGGCGCTTGATTCCCGGTCCATCTGTGGCTCCTCTGATAGGCTGGAGGATACGTAATGCGCGCAGACGCTATCGGGAGGTGGCGCTAGGATTCTTTCTCGCGCAGATTCCCACCCTGAATTGCGCTTCTGCCAAGAGGTTCTGATTTGTTCCCAGGCTTTCTTGTGTTTTTGTTCAAATGAGATTCTCCCAATGAAGTCTTCCCTGTCCATTGTAGCTAAATTGCCAATGCTCGCTATTCTCCGTCTCCGTCATATTTTTATCTCCTTCGCACTCATAACCACCTGGCGGGCTAAGCCTTCTCATTTTATTTACTGTCTGCTTCCTGCTGTTGGAATGAATGCAACCAAGCTACACGAAAGCAAGCACTGTGCTTTGTTAACTGGTGTCATTTCTTGAACAATGTGGGCCAATAAGGTGACCGACTTACTCATCGGGCACAGCAGGCAGGAGGCTGAGGACTCCCCATAGTCTTGAGCCCATGAAAATGTCAAAATGATGGTGTTGACTTCCCTTAACATCAGAAGACAATACAATAATTTTTGTACAATAATAATCCCAATTTGGATTATATTCGTCCTTACTACAGCAGTCACAAAATATATTTTAAGTTATTATGAAAGGAGGAACCCAAAGGCAAAAGTGCCTGAGGCGCAGGAAAGTCATGATGCAACGCTGGCACTCAATACTATCAGGGTAGCTGTAGGTAGGGTCCTGTGGCTCACACCTCTAATCCTGGCTACTGAGGAGTTAGAGATCAGGAGGATCCCTGTTCGAAGCCAGCCTGGGCAAAAAGTTTCTAACCCTATTGTTAACGTGGCTGGTTCAATCTGTGATCAGAAGACTTCCAAATTCTTTGTCCCCACGTGGAAGAATCCATGGTAGAATACTGAGTATAAATGAAGTTTATTAAAAGTTAGGGAAGGGAATACAAAGGGAAGTGCGGTGAGGCCCAAGTGGAAGCTGGAAGCAGAGAGAGAGTGTTTCTGCACTTCAGGTGCTTTTAAAACCTACTGTAACCTATGGGAAGGGGAGAACCAGGAGATTCCCATCCAATAATCAATGAGCAGGGAGGGGCATGGGCAGTTCTGGCCAGGTGTGGTGGTCTGGGCCATCCCTGGGCAACCTGAACAGGAGTGCTGAGCTTTCCCTACTCCTAGCCTGCCTCACTAGCGTGAAAAAACCCATCACAAAAGAGGGCTGGCAGAGTGACTGAAGGTATCATCTCTGAGTTCAAACCCCATTACTGTAATATGTATATTATATATATATATATATATATAGTTATTGTGAACAAAAGGGAATTCATGTTAGGATTGGACTCACCCCACACACACCTTTTCAGGCAACTTACTGGAAACACCCCACCACTTATAGGAAGGACCACACCTAGCCTCAAGGGAATGACAAACTCTCAGCTTGCCCAAGAGTCCAGAGCAACCAACCTATGTAACTGCCACCATCTCCTCTAGCTTTTCATAGCAATTGTTAACCCAGCAGTGATCCAGTTTAGATCTTAAATCAGCATCACCTTTGTTCTGAGGCCCTTGTATGCTCAGCCTGATGTTTTAGCATCTAACAAAAGCGGGCCTGAAAGGCCAGGGCATCCTTCTGGAGTCCAGCAGGCACCATTTGCCAGCTGGGAGGGATGCCAGGAGACTGCTGATGGAGACTTCACTTAAAAATTAGACCGCTTCAGCAGTTCAGGGTTGTCCTGTCCCAAGGTAGGGAAGGCAGTGGGACAGCTCTGCCCTTTCTTGGCATCTGTCTCTCTCTAAAACTAACTACTTCCTTGTGTTCTCACATAATCCTTTGGGTATGTGAGTTGTCTAGCATTTGTTTGAGCATGTGCCTACGATCAACAAGAAAACTTGCAACTCCTTGAGCAGCAGTTCTCAGAGCTTGAGGTCTTAGCAGACTTCACTCTTTAGAATTTACTGAAGACCCCAAAGAGCTTTTCTTTCTTTCTTTCTTTTTCTCTTTTGTGGTGCTGGAATTTGAACTCAGGGTCTACACCTTGAGTCACACCACCTGCCCTGTTTTGTGAAGGATTTTTTCAAGATAGTGTCTCTTGAACGATTTGCCCAGGCTGGCTTTGAACCTGATCCTCCTAATCTCTGCCTCCTGAGTAGCTAGGATTACAGGCATTAGCCACTGGCACGAATCTCCATAGAGCTTTACTTATGAACATTGCATCAGTCAGTATTTACATTATGAGAAAACTTTAAATTGTGTATGTATTAATCATTAAAAAGAATAAGCCCATTATGTGTCAACATAAATTTTTAGTGAAAATAACTATTTGCTGTGAGACTCAACTAAATTGGGTCTTTTCTGTCAAAGAGCTAGCTCAGTCAGTACAGCGTGAGACAATCTCAGGGCCATGGGTTTGACACCCTTCCTCCTCCCACCCATCACACCACAAAATATGTCTGTCATTGTGTGGATATTAACTAATTTCCTCAGTTGTCTATGTGCTCTGTGGCATGTCACCTGGCTGTAAAGTTTCTGCCTTTAAGCAGAGAATCATTTGTCATTGGATATCCTAAACTGAAGCTGCTAGTGTTAGGACAATCATTGTTCAAAGGAATCTCTGCTTCAAGGTCCCCCTTGGTCCACAGGTTAATTATATACTTGGTGCTGCCATTTCAGGTCAGATAGTCATTTCAGGCCTCAGTTTCCCCAGAATTCTAGAATTCCCACTTTATGAGACACTGTTGGGTCTGGGAATCTGAAGACTGAGAAGCAAGTCAGTGCCCCCAACCCCCATGGAAGCACTGTGAACTCTGCATCCTGAGAAGGAGACATACGGTCTCGAAAATCTGCCACAGGGTTGATAAACAGGATGCTCTTAAGATTGTTTCTCCCCGATAAGGGGCAAACAGGTCAGTTTATGGGGGGGGAGGTTATTATGAGAGCCCACATGCACAAATCCATGATCAAGATCCCACCTAACCCTTACCCTAACCCGGAATTAAAGCATCAATAAAAAGTCTCAACTTCCACTGTAGCAGGGAGCTACCAGTTTCTGGTCACTGCTGCACTACTTTATCTGTAGCCTTTTCTATCACTAATAAATCTATCTGTGTGCGCACTCTTTATGTCTCCTGAGCTTATTCCTAAACTCAGCGAAGACAAGAACCCTTGGAGCACCCCCATCCCCACCCCCACCCCACAACATCACCTCTATGTCTTTGAGTACACCAACCAAATTAAGTTCATGTCCATGCTCTCCAATCATACATGCTCTTCCGCTATGCCCTCTCCTAAACCTCAACCTTAATTAATCATGAAAACTGTGAATATGAGCTCCCTCCTTTAGAGCAAAGGGGCAATCTTGTGTCAGGTTAAAAACTAGGGCTGTTTTCTCACCTGGTGTGTGCTAGCTTGCCTGACGAAGGTCAGAGCCACACCCTGCAGAAGTAAATTTTGCCCTGCCAACCATCTTTCAAGAATATGTCTGATTTGTGATTGCGGCAGCACCCCAATATTTCTAATATTTGCTGAAACAAAAGAAAATGTAGCAAGGAGATGGGTGTTGATTTACACCATTCTTTCAAATCTTTAACATCTAGCTTAATAGAAGGTGATTTCTCATCTATGCATCTGCATCCAGTCTGTTATGATTTGTTATTTCAGTTGAAGAATATGGAGAAATGTAACCTTACATAGATATGTAGTGCAAGAGGGAGGCATAGCAGAATAATCTTTTCAGGTAAATGTGGATACTGGTCTTTAATACTTTATTAAAAGTTGACAAGTGGTAAATTTTTTTCAATACTGGGGTTTGAACTCAGGGCCTTGTACTTGCTAGGCAAGCACTCTATCACCCTAGAGCCAATAATCCCAGTGCAAATGGTAATTTCTTAAAGGTTAGTGCAACTGGAATCTGAAACCATGTGGACAAACTTTGTACTCTATCCAGTAAAATCCACTTGTGTTTTGAAAAGGGTTTTAACTATGCATGTTTTGTAATAGTCTACGTTGATCATTTAGAAACTCTTGATTCACTGAGTTATGCAGCTCTTAACAACTTTTGACACTTTTCATTATGCAGTGTCAAGAACACGAGTTAGTATCAACTACAAGCCTCATCTTAAAAGTCATTAGGTTTTAGGAACTTTGCTCTTTTAGCAAGGAACAGAATTTCCAAAATTCCTTAATTTTGCTTGAAACTTAAAATTTTACCATTGCTAACAAATACTGTCTACTTTTTTTTTTGAGACAGTGTCTCACTTATGTAGCCCAAGCAGGTCCTGAACTATGACCCTTCCTGCCCCAACCTCCTCAAGTGGAGAGGTTGCAGGCATGCACCTCTATGTCCAGCTGTCTTATTTGTTACACAACAGAGTCACTTCACTTAGCTTTTATTCCGATTTTTATTTAGATTAATTGTAGACCATA